GTCTCCGTTTATTAGTAGAACAGTAAGATTCGGGTACATTCCTTGATGCCACCTAGCGAGTTTGGACTTCAGCCTTAAGCATTAAATGTACAATACAAAAATTTGTATTGTGGATTATCCCTGGAGGCATAGAATTTAGCCAGGTGTACCTTACTGGTGAGCTGCAGAATCAATTGGAAGAGATGTATTAAAAATGAATGAATAGAAGCAAAGTAGTTTAGGAAGAGAGTTGGCAGGAGGGGGGGTGAAATGTTTAACAAAAGTATTGATGTTTTAAATGCACAGCAATATCATCTATTAATAATAAATGGTGTGGTATAGAGCAAATGTGCCAGAGTAAGTTATTGCAGTTTATGGATTAGGTCAGAGAAACAAGTAAGCAATACAGATGGTGTTTGGAGGTTCAGAGACTTTCAAAAAGCATTTTCATGATCATGCTTAGAGGATGAGGGGTTATGTACTGAAAGGTTTCATTTCAAGAAACCTTTAAAGGAGGAATAATTGACAGAGCAACCCAATATGCAGCAGGATGGGGTCATTCTCTGGAGGAAAATCACCTGAGTTCTGATAATATTGGTGTCCATGAAGAAATGCATTTGCTATTCTTTTGTAACACTTTTGCAGTAATGTGCAATATATGTGCATATGTAACTAGTTGGGTTGATTGACAATTAGCACTTTAAAAGGAACATTACAAACCTTTATGTGTTTACTCTGTTAAGTCTCATGGAATTCATTGATTAAATTCTTAGATAAATGAGTGTAAAATTGCAATCCAAGAGTAGTAAATTCTTTCTTTTCACAGCAAAAGACCAAATAGTAGGCTTGTAAACTGGCCTACTTTAAATCTCTAAAGGCGAAGAATGACTTCTTGTCATGTACAGAGTGAGATTATCCTGTCGTCTCTCTGAAATAACAACAACAACAACTATTAGCATTATTATTTATAAAGGCAGAGCAGAGTAGAACTCTTTGGAAAGTGACTGTGAAGAATCAGCAGCCTTATGTTGAACATCTCCAAAACATTGGGGAAGTCCAGGGAATCAAAGCAGAGGATCATTTGTTCCAGAAAAATCTCCTTTCTGTACAAATTGATAAATACATATATCCAAGAATAATTGCTGACTTTTTATTAGTGTTTCCTGGATTGTGCTCCCATTTTCTGGTATAATTTAGATGGCACTATTTAAATTACCTCAGTTTTTGCATTTTTATTTCTTCAATATAACAGTATACTGTTATACTGAAGAAATACAGTATCAAGATAGTATAACATGTAAAGGTCCCATGGCTTTTACATAATGGGATAATGGTGGATACCATATGAGACACTGTCTGAAGATGGTGCTAGTGGAAGCTACTAAGTTGTCCAAAGCATGAGGCAGGACTAAGGTGAGAAAACCCAGAGGATTTCTGGGAGATGACTTAGGTCAGTGGTGGCAAACCTACGGCACGGGTGCCAGAGGCGGCACTCAGAGCCCTCTCTATGGGCACATGCACCATCGTCCCAGTCCTAGGCCTTCAGCTGGGTTTTATAAAATCTTTTCGCTTTAGGCCTCCACCACCGTGTGTAAAAAAAAAAAAGTTCAGTCAATTTTAAGTTCTCATGGGAAAGAAAAAGATCTCGCAAAGTTGGAATTGATTGATTGAATTTTTTTGTCCCACCCAGTCTGCCGTTACCACCGCAGCACACCTGCCCGGCACTCAATGATGCATGAGTAGGTTTTAGGTTGCAGTTTGGGCACTCGGTCTCTAAAATTTTACACATGGGGTAATAAGCTTAGATTCTCATGTTTTCCCTAACATGATCATGGAGTAAATCCAGAGAGAAAAGAAGCAAAGGTTAGTTGAGAAGAATAAGGGAATGCTATTTTCCTTTTTATGTCATCTAAGACTTTCCAGATACCTTGGTATTAATTTTCATAATTCCAGACACTAAAGGCAGATAGATTTAAATGTGGTGGATAGTCAGTATTTACTTTGGGGAATAGTATAATAATGAGTACTTGCCGGAACATTATCTTTGACACAACAATACTTACATGTTAATCATTCACCTTTCCCATATTACTTTTTCAAAAGTATTTGTTTTTATTAAACACATTAATTTTGAAACTAATTTATTGCAGGTAGAAGAATGCGCTTCTTGAAAGAAAGGTGGTCATATTACCTTTCACACACACGTGAAGTTGTAGTTGTACTTGGATGTACTTGTAGTTGTAAATGGATGTAATTTGGCACATATTATTTCTATGGCAGAGGTTCTCAATCTGCCCCCAAACCTCCTGGCTTTAACATTACCCATTGAGAAGAAGTTTTAATATGCCTGAAATTCTTGGAAGTATGGGAATTCTCTCAGACATACACATAGTAAGGAAAGTGAGTTTTATGTACAGTTTGGTCAAAACATGGACCAAATTCCAAAGCTTGTCCTAGTAAGTGGAATCTGGGAACTACATTACTAAGTTGTCTGGTGGATGCCAGGGCTAGGAATCTTACTATTTGATGTGACAAGAATTGGTGTAGTATGTGGAAGACATAAAATTTGGCCCAGTATTACAGGGCTGCTCCTCCAATGTTAAATCATCATTGGAAGTAGGTATGCTTATTCTTCAGGGCTTTGCTTTAAATTTTCCATCTCAGACCTCTAAATGCAGTATGTTAAAATATGGAAATCAATTGTTTTGTCAACAAAATTATGATCATTTTATGAAATGAAAGAGAACATAGCTCAGTGACGTTAATGAGGAGAATTATGGCAATTAGTCTTGTGGCAAGATGGTGAGGCTGAAGGGATCAGCAGAGGGAAGGGAGAGCTCTAATCACAATTTGTATAACTGATCTCTCACTTTAGGTATAGGTGAACTTGCTTAGGACTCTTATTTTCCTTGGGCTGATAGCTTTTTCTGCTAAGAAGCATTAGTTGGATTCCATGTCTATACTGCTGAAGACTGGAGTTTTTCATCCACTAAAAAGTAGCTGCTTTTATTCTTATTCTCAGTTTTATTGTGTTACCTTACTCTTCCCGTCTGTTCCTGAGAGAAAGCAAAAGAAGAATGGCTTATGCAACCAATAACTAATGAAATCTTCTCCAAAGTATGATCCCCGAGACATTGTGAGCTGACTCTAACACAATTATTCAAAAAGGAATTGTGGTTTTCTCTTGTAGAATAGAAAGTACTCAATTCTTGCTCAGAACCAGACAATGTAAACATGTGCTTTCTTTCAAAGTTGCATGGTCCTGGTTATGCCATGTGGCTATGCATTTGAGAGACTGAAGACCAACTGGGCTAAAACAGCTAAAAGTCTAAGTGATTTAGACTGAAGAAATTGCTGGAAAATTCCAATCTGATAGCACAAGGGAAAATATGTGGAGCTAAAATAAGGATGATGTAGGAGGAGGAGAATGACCAAGACAGGAGGGAGAGAATCCTGAATGTAATAAAAGCTGAGGGATGCTTAAATGTTGGTGATAGTATCTGATAAGAATATTCTGTGATGCCCTTCCTGTCAAGAATATTTGATTCTTTAATTGACAGCTTCTGTAAAAATTAGAACAAATATGAATGTCAGGTTCTAAAACCTACATGGAGTTCTTTGGTCAACTTTGGGGAGGGGGCAGTCAGTCTTTTTTTTTTTAGGGGCAATTCTTTGTGAACCATCTCAAGGCTCCTGAGATGATAGGCAGAATATAAAAATACGACATATTAATTAACAGAAATATTAATACAAATATCTTAATAATTGAGGTGCTTTATGATGCATAAACTCAGGAACTTTAGGGAAAATATTAGAGACAAATTATGAAAAGTAGTTATTTTGTTAGAATTATATTGTTCTGTAAACTTATAAGCAGCTTAGATACATTTGATTGAAGAAATACAGCAATGTAGAATAAACATGTACCTTAGACCAAAACACTTAACTCTGGAAAAGAGAAAAATACTGAAGGGAGCATTCTGAAATTTTACACTAGAGATCTTGGAAAGAATAAAGTAATCTTTAACAGGTATGACTTTATAAACAGTAAGGTGGATATGTAGAGAACATTTGCTTTGATGTTTTCCCCTCCTGAAACATTTTGTTCAAATGGTTTGCTTGAATTTCTCCTTTTCTTTCTTTAGGGCTTTGGCTGTGTATAAGGAGGTAGCTATAAAAACTAAATGAATGAATAAAAAGGTTCTTATTTTGACCTCCTTTTTCTTCACTGTATCATTTCAGATCAGCTCTGTAGTGCAGGAGTCTATGGTGGAAATAGACAGTTCATTGCTTTAGACTGAGGTTCCAACATTCTTGCTGTTAGCCAATTTGCTGAAGTTAAGAGGAATTGAATCCAAAACATTTGGAAAGCACACCGTTGCCTGTTTTAGGATAAGGATTTTTAGATTACATTTATTCTTATATGGTATGTTAAGGCCACGTAAAAATGAGCCACTAGGGCAGGGGTCTGCAACCTTGAGAACTTTAAGACATGTGGACTTCAGCTCCCAGAATTCTTAAAGATGTCAAGGATGCAGACCCCTGCACTAGGGGAAAGTGTCCTGGTCTGAAGTAATGATAAGTGAGTAATAAATTCAGTAAAAGAATAATTAAAATATTCTTCCTCTTACATTGATCAAAACTTTTGAAGAAAGGTGTGAAATTGTTAGCAGATGAGCACGCTTATTTCTTTGCCATTATCTTCCCCATTGCCCATGGGTGAACTGTTCAGCTGTTCTGAAGTACATATCCATAAATAGCCATTATCTCATCTAGTGAGGCTTTTGAAAATAAAACAAAATCCATTTTGATCAATTCTAAATATTTCTGAAGTTTCATGTATTGACAAGCATGGTCCCGAAATTCGTATAATTATATTGCTCTATTTTTAACAATAGATGCTCCTCTTTAAGGCTTCTTAAGTAGTCTGCTGGAATTCATATATTCCATGATACATACCGATGAGCTGTCATGTGAAGTGTCCTGTTCTAATTCTCTTGTTTTTCTTGTTTTGCCTGCAGATTACCATTATCTTTAAATCCTACCAAGACTGTACAGATCAGAAGGTGTATCAGGCAGTAACCGATGATTTGCCAGCAGCTTTTGTAGATGGCACTACTAGTGGTGGAGATGGAGATCCCAAAAGCTTGCGTATTGTGGAAAGAGTGAGTGGCAAATACGTGGAAATGCATGCTAGGTACATTGGAACTACCGTGTTTGTGCGCCAGCTTGGCCGTTACTTAACACTATCCATTCGCATGCCAGAAGAGCTAGCCTTGGCTTATGAGGAGAGCCAGGACCTGCAGCTCTGTGTGAACGGCTGTCCCTCCAGTGAACGTATTGATGACAGCGGGCATCTTCCTTTACCAGTGTTGGGGCAGCTTCTTCCTTCTGGGGTTTCAAGTCACACCCGTTCTGTATATACACTGGAGACTGCAACCACCAAGTGCCATGAGAAGATGCTCCTGAAGGACATCTATTTTCATTCTTGTGTATTTGATTTACTCACCACTGGTGACGCCAATTTCACAGCTGCTGCACACAGTGCCTTGCAGGATGTTGAGGCGCTGCATCCGAGGAAGGAGAGATGGCACATCTTCCCCAACAATGAAGGCAGTGTTCAGAGGGCAAAATTTGGACTTGGACTTGTGGGCTTTCTGCTTCTTGTGTTTTTGTAGAATTCTCCCCTCTTTGATGGTTGTTGTAGAGAACAAAGTTTTAAAATATATATTGTCATAATATATTAAGAACATATATGTATATACCGTGTATATGAAGGGATGCTTTTTTGTCCTGGGACATCCAGAGGATTGTATATAATTGTGTTATCCTTTTTCCTATGTATGTTGGATGTAATATTCTTTTGATTGTAATATTTTTTGCTTTGCAGTTGGTGAAACATTTTATAATGTCCTTTCATCAGGACCTAATAGAAAGCACTTTATTTTTTATATATTAACTATTTATGTGTACCTAGGTAATACGTAAAGCATATATCCATCTGTATATATACCATACCCAGTATGCCCTCTAAGTATTGCCTAGCTTAATTCGTACACTTATAAGTTTTATTTGATTCCTTTTCTTCCATTCTTTTGGCCAGTTAAGACAACACAAGAATCTAGCTAGGTAGATAATATAGACCTAGGTCTAGGACAAGCCTAGGACTTCCATTGGACCCTGGCCAGTAGCCTCCATTCATAGGAATGCAGCAATTATTGGCCATCAATCTTCAGATTTAGTGCATTCACAACTGCATCTTATTGTTTACTGATGCAGCAAATCTCTGCTTCCTTCCAAGAATTGCTTTTTAGCATTGAAAATTGTACTTAATGTGCAAGTACAAAATGTAAGTTTTCTATGAATTTCGTAAAGGACATGCATGGAAAACTGCGTCTCTTTTCTTTCCAGATGTATATGAATGAGGCCTAAAGATTTTCCAGAACTTTTTTGGGAGGCTAGACCTCAAATCTCTTTCATAATTATATGGATCTCTTCAAGTGGTTTGTATTAAATGTTGTACCCTAAGATAGTGGTAGGCCTTAATTTCTTAATTTTACTCCTAAACATTTTTGCAACAACAACTAATCATAAAAATTGGTAATGAGCATAATTTTTGAATTGTCTGAAAAGAAAAGTAGAAAATTAAGAAAATGGATATTGCTCAGGAGGTTAGGATTACTTAATTATCATTCCTTTGTCAATTTTAGCAAGTTGATCAACTGCAAGATCTTCTGCATTGGTCTGCTAAGTACAGACATACACATAAACAATATTTTGAATGTGTAAAAAGACTGGCAGATTTTTTGTGACATCAGTTTTCATGGATTACAGTCTATTATATGACACATCTGTGATACAGGCTGCAGCGAATAAGAACTTAACGGCACAAAACTTTTGGGTGCCCAAATGCCATTTCCCCCTTCCCCCCACTTTTGTGTAACTGAGGAGACTGTATAAGTGTTCCATACTTAGTATTTTAATTCCTTCCAACACTTGCTAGAATTGTTGCACTAAAGTCCTTAAAGTATACTCTAGATACAGAGAAATTTATATAAAATTCACTGCCAGCTGAACAAGCATTTCTTACTCTCTTATTAGCAGAATATCATTTCCCATGCTGGCAGCTAGGCTGAGAACAATCCTGCTTCAGATCATTTCAGCTTTAGCTATACTTAATGAAGAGCAATCAGCAAAACAAAGCATTGTGCTAGGAAGGCATGGTGGTTCCTTGGACTGTAATAGTAGATGCTCCTTAGGACTGGTGATTGATCTGGGAATGGGTTGTTATGTCTCAAGCAGGGCTTTTACTCAGCATTTGAGACTGGAAGTGTCAAAGATTGAAGCTGCCACCATCCTCCTGTGCCTGGATTAGTTGCATATGTGCTTAGTAATTTTCATTGTAGTGGAAGAGCATTGGTTTGTAATACTGATTGGAACTCTATCCTAGTTATGCATAGATATTTCTAGCTTGCTTGACTTGGATTCATGTCATGCAAATTCTTGTTGATCTTGAGTAAATCCTTCCTGTTTTAAAGTGACAGCACCATAGTAGTTTAAGCTTTTACTTAAAATCACCAAATACAAGCAAAATTGCTTGCTAGTTTGTATATTCAAAATGTGCCTGATCTCAGAATGTCAGGATGAACTTGTGGTTCAGGTTTGTGGCCCAAGTATATGACTTAATTTTTGCAGCTACAAAATCTTTAAAATTCTGCCTTTGGTCAGTTGTTAAGGCAATACAGAATATGAAGCCAACCTTACTGTATTTCTCCTCCCCTTGTTCCCTTTCCGGTCTTGTATGGAGAGAAACATGATGGTCTTAGAATAGTTGAATTTTTTCATATTTTTATGTGCCAAGTGAAAAGGTATTTGTGGAAGAAGTCTGGTTAGACAAGTCTAGAGTTATAGCTACATTGTAAGTAACAGGTGTATGCTAATTTTCTGCATTCCCAAACCCCCATGAAATGTACACACGTGTGTGTTGACAAACATACACAACAAATAACTAAAAACTAAGGAATCCAGAGATAAATCATATTTTGGAAAAGGTGGCATTGGAAATGCTTTTCCCTTCTTGTCCTAACTCTGGGCTTTTTTAAAAGAAAATATTATTCGCACATGTTGGTTCTTAAAAGTCCACCATAGCCAAGAGAACTTTAGTCAATGCCAAACATATAGATAGCTTGAAGCTAGTGAATGGTCTCTGGAGAAAATATACTTAGAGGGAACACTGGTTTTCATAGATACTCCAATCGACTGTCTCTTTTAGAAGGCTTCAGACTTATGCTTGGGAAGAAGAATACAAAATAAAACCCACAGTGTGACCCATATTTTTCAGAACATTTTAGATGTGCTTCATGGCTATACTATTAAGTATATGTTTGTGTGAAAAACAAAAGTGACCGTGCAGTGTATACTTTAAATTATGATAGAATAATAAAGTTACATATCATGCTGTGGAATGTTTGTGCCATTACTGACCCCTGCTGGTTGCCAGTATATAATAGTTGACGACTAGTAATGTAACTAAAGGTGTGTTCCAATCAAATCCAACCAATTTCCAAATTTTGAGAAGCAAGTGCAGAGCCTGAAACCAAAGCAACAGCTTATTGAGATGAGACTAAAGCCCCACAGAACAATTAAGTGAACAGTGGAGCTTCATGAATAATGTAATGGTTTGGGGTGCTGCAGACAGCCAGACGCTGTGTCTGCAAATGCCAGCTACGTTCTTCCATAAAAATCAGGATAGGGAATGGAAGAGGCATGGATTCAACTGTGATTGGCAAGTCCATTTACTAATTGCAGGATTAGTGCCAATGTTGGAAGAGCTCTGTAGAAGGTGTTTTGTGGGGGATGGAGGGTGGAGAAAGTATCAATCACACGGATTGATTTCTTTGGAGAAATAAATTGCCTGGGATTTTAGGCAAGGAGGGTGAGGAATGTCCATCGTGATGAACTACTGTTTTCCCGAAAGTAAGACCTACCCCAGAAATAAGCCCTAGCTTGATTTTTGCAGGTGGGCCTAATATAAGCCCTTTCCCCAAAAGAAGCCTGAGTTTTGGAGCCAGGCGCACGCCTAAAAATCAAGCTAGGGCAGGGGTGAGGGGGTGGAGCTACCCCACACACCCCGCACCCACTTACTGTTGCAGCCAGACCTCCCATGAATTGACACCTACCTCGCTGGCCCACTTACGCAGCACCCCCTGGGCTGCATTTTGCTCTCAGAGTCCTTCAAGAAATGCTTCTGCAGCTGAGAATGGAGCTCTGGATTCCCCCCTGGCCTGCATTTCTCCATCAGAGGCCTTCTGGAAAGGTCTCTGCAGTCAAGAACCGAGCTACAGGTTCAATCCATAGCTCACTTCTTGGCTGCAGAGGTCTTTCTGGAAGTTCTCTGATGGAGAAATGCAGGCCAGGGGGGAATCCAGAGCTCCATTCTCAGCTGAAGAGGCATTTCCTTCAGCGCAGAAGAGGGCCGGCTGGGTTGTTGGTGCCTCCTCCACAAGGTGAGACTGGGACCCCTGAAAAAAGACCTGGTGTTTCTTTTGGAGGCAAAAAAAAAAAAGACGGGGTCTTATTTTCGGGAAAACACGGTAGTTCTTTCCAAGGAGCTTTAGAGGATCACTCTGTCTAAGATGAGCTTTAATCTATGATGAACTTTAGCTGAATGATGCTTATAGAAACTGCTCAAAATATTTGCTTGAATTGTGCCCTTGAAGCAAGCGTTAAAGGATTTCACCTTTCTGTAGCATGTTGATATTCTACTGTTGCTTTTGTCCTAACACTTATTGAAAATTGGCTTTTTTTTAAAGCCAATAAGCAGTAACGGGTCAATAATTTATTGTCTATTGGTATTATAATCTTTTTTTAACAAAACAAAACCTTACCATAAGAATTTCCTTTACACAAAAATGCCTGAACTTGTATGTAATTTAACAACTGTCTTGATTGTGGTTTTCTTTTTAACTTTTTCTTTTCTTTCTTTTCGAAGACGGTTCCAAAACTTGTTGCTTTCTTTTCAGTTAGATAATTTTCATCCTTTCACAGGTGCTTAATTTTCATTCAAATGAGTATGCTCCCAAGATTGACAATTTTGGGGTTTTGCAAGCTACTGAATGAGAGCTAGACTTCTTGCTTTGGATTGGGCAAGTCACCTTTGAATTTTTCCAAACCCAAATAAAGCTCTTACCCAAAGCCTAATTCACTAGCCAATAAAATTTTGCAGCCAGCAAGCTTTCCTCACCAAAACAGTCACAAGTTGACTGAATCAATATATGATAGTATTTCTGATATGTAGAAAGCAACTCATGGCTCTGCTCAGAAGCATCAATTCTGAAGGGCACGTGACTGAATCTGTCCTTCGGAACCATGAGTTGCTTTCTGACTATCAGAAATACTATCTTATCTTAATTTTAAAAAATCTCTTGAAGGAAGTCTTCTCCAAAGCTAGAATTCTGCCTGACATTTTTTTTCTAGCTCCGGGTAGAGCAAGCACTGCTCAAAAGAAAAGGGAACTGCACTCTTCTAGTAGGATTTCTTCAAGACTAAAATCAAGTATGATTTGAAAAGATCAAAACCAAAAGTAAGGTATGTAATTCTGTGGTTACTGTAGCTCCTTTCCTTTCAGGAAAATCAATCTACCAGAATGATGTCTATTATTTGACTCATTTATAGGATTATCATATGTCATAATTTAAAAGCCTGCATTAAACTCAAAAATGCCCCAATTAATTTCTCTATCAGTAGTGGGAGAAAATTCTACAGAGATGTGTGGGTCTATGCATGGGCTATAATGCAGCAATGAAAAGTTGCTTTAGGAAGGCCCTTTCCTCACCTTAGAAAAATTCGCAGATGGCCATAAATTCCATGAGGAGGGACTTTGGCTTTGTGGATCAAATTACCTTTTCCATTACAAAGCTCATGGTGACTGATTATGTACAATGAGGGGAAAAATTATTTGATCCCCTGCTGATTTTGTACGTTTGCCCACCGACAAAAGAACTGATCAATCTATAATTTTAATCATAGGTTTATTTTGACAGTGAGAAACAGAATAACAACAAAAAAATCCAGAAAAACACATTTCAAAAAAGTTATAAATTGTTTTGCATTTTAATGAATGAAATAAGTATTTGATCCCCTATCAATCAAGATTTCTGACTCCCAGGTGTCTTATACAGATAACGAGCTGAGATTAGGAGCACTCTCTTAAAGGGAGTGCTCCTAATCTCAGCTTGTTACCCGTATAAAAGTCACCTGTCCACAGAAGCAATCAATCAGATTCCAACCATGGCCAAGACCAAAGAGCTGTCCAAGGATGTCAGGGACAATATTGTAGATCTACACAAGGTTGGAATGGGCTACAAGACAATTACCAAGCAGCTTGGTGAGAGGGTTAAAAACAGTTGGTGTGATTATTCGCAAATGGAAGAACACAAAAACTGTCAATTTCCCTCGGTTTTGGGCTTCATGCAAGATCTCACCCCGTGGAGTTTCAATGAGGAATCAGCTCAGAATTACACAATTTTGGTCACCATATCACAAAAAAAAATGTTGAGTGTTTGGAAAAAATTCAGAGAAGAGCAAATAAGATGATCAAAGGCCTGGCGACCAAAACATACAAAGAACGGCTGCAGAACTTTAGCTAGTCTAAAGAAAAGAAGAAATAGGGGAGACATGATTGCAGTATTTGAGGAGCTGCCACAAAGAAGAGGGGGTCAGGTTGTTCACTAGAGCACCAGAGGGAAGGACAAGAAACAATGGTTGGAAACTGATCAAAGAGAAGCAACCTGGATTTAAAGAGAAACTTCCTGACAGTGAGGACAATCAACCAGTGGAACAGCTTACCTCCAGAAATCATGGGCGTTCCATCACTGGAAATTTTCAAGAAGAGACTGACAATCACCTGTCTGAGATGATATAGGTTCTCCTGCTTGAGCAGGGGGCTGGACTAGAAGACCTTCAAGGTCCCTTCCAGCTCTATTCTATTCAAAACACACGGCCAAGGCAACAAAGGAGTGGCTCAAGAAGCATATTAAGGTCCTGGAGTGGTCTAGCCAATCTCCAGACCTTAATCCCACAGAAAATTTATGGAGGAGGAAGCTGAAGGTTCAAGCTGCCAAACATCAGTCTCAAAACCTTAATGACTTGAAGAGGATCTGCAAAGAGAAGTGGGACAAAATCCTCTCCTAGAAGTGTGCAAACCTGGTGGCCAACTACAATAAATGTCTGACCTCTATGATTGCCAACAAGGGTTTGCCATCAAGTACTAAGTGATGTTTTGCAAAGGGGTCAAATACTTATTTCACTCATTAAAATGCAAATCAATTTATAACTTTTTTGAAATGCATTTTTCTGGATTTTTTGTTGTTATTCTGTCTCTCTGTTAAAATAAACCTGCCATTAAAATTATAGCCTGATTATTTCTTTGTCAGTGGATAAATGTACAAAATCAGCAGGGGATCAAATATTTTTTTCCCCTCACTGTATTGTCAACACTAAAGCTGGGATTGATGACCATCTTCTGAATCAAAACACTCTGTTGCGTCCAAGATCAACAGTTGCCTCATATGAAACAGTTGTTATGACCTAGCATGAGTTACTTTTAATATTTATCAATTGTTTATAGATAAATATTTATTTATAAATCATGGGATCAAAGTGTTAATATTAGACATTATTTCACCATCTTTGACTCTAAAGCATGTACATGCAATTCAATGTTCTTTATCCACTATGTTGCAGGTCTGCTTTGATATATCTGTTATAAGGACATTGGCTCAAAAATTGTTGCTCTTGCGACACATCGTTTTGCCCAGGTAAAGGACATGATAAATGTTAATAGTATATAGATATTCATCAATCAGTAAACCCAATACTCAGTTTCATTTGAAGTTCATCAGTTGTTTTCAACAAACATTGCAGACATAAAAAATGGCATTACCAGAGGATGGATAAGCAAATTCTAAATAGGGTGGATTGAAGTTGCAGTATTCATCTTACTGATGCATCGCAGAAACTGCTGGGTTTCTCATGGCAAGGCTGGTTTAACAACGCCAATAAATTGGGAACCTCAAGCATAGGAGTAGAGTTTTATCTAGAGCAGTGTTTCTCAACCTTGACAATTTTAAGGCATGTGGACTTCAACTCCCAGAATTCCACAGCCAGCAATGCTGGCTGTGGAATTCTGGGAGTTGAAGTCCACATGCCTTAAAATTGTCAAGGTTGAGAAACACTGCTCTAGAGCAAAACAAGTGCCACCTCCAAATCACAGTACCAAGATTTATTGAGATACAACACAATTCTCTTGGTCATCACCTTGGATGCTTCATAAATTGCAAAACCAAGTAGCCCACACTGAAAAATGTTAAAAGATATTTATGCATATAAAGATTATGATTCCGCCCACAGTATCCTTCCCTGGTTTCAACATTATTTAAATTTTACTCATTAACATCTCATGTTTTCACTTTGGCTTTTTGCTCCACATATATTGAAATTTAATACCTAGAGCCCTGTATTTTATCAAAGGCTTTTAAAGTAACCAATTGTTAGTATAGATTACCACAAAACCAAAAATACAAATGACATATTAAGCTGCTTATAATTTACAACATTTTTGTAGCAAACATTAATATGTATAGCATTTTGGAATAACTGTTCAATAGCAAGGTAGTATGAGAATGCATTGCCTTATGCAAATTAATTTATTTGGTTTCCTTAAATCTGCTGCTAGACCTAGTCTCTATAATTATTATATATATTTATAAAAAATGTTTAAATTACTTATCTTTTGTGAACGCTATTGTATTGAGAAGTATTGTTCAGAAATACTGCTTTGTGAAGAAAAGAGAACAGCATTTTTTGAATTCCAGTTCCTTTGAGGACTTCCTTTATGAACATACAAACCAGCTGAAAGAAAGCAGAAACTGGCGAGAATAGTTTTCCTCTGCTTGATGATACTCCAGCACAAGTGTTACCATCACGCAACATATAGTACGCCTGGTTTTATTGCAAGCAGATTTTACAAGAGTAATCAGAAGTTTCACCCACGTCCTAAGCCTGTAAATTGGCTTCCACAGACTGAAATAGACAATGTATCACCTCCAAATAATGTATATCAAGGGAAAATGGACTGTTATCTAATACACTTTTGCAATTTTTTTAGATGAAAGAAACTTGTTTCTTCAGTGTCACAAATTCATAGACTATGAGAATTTATGCCCTTTGTCCCTGTTGTAAATACTTGCAGATATTAACATTGCACTCTAGAAACATTCCTCATCCACCACAAACCCCCCCCCATAGGTGTATAGAAATCTCCAAACATCTTAATGAAATGGGCTATAATGTGGCAAAGTTCATGTCACAATAAATAATTTTGGTAAGCGTATAAACTAATACTTGCTTTTCCAGCAACAAACAAGTAAAGCTGCTTCTTAAAAATATGTAACAACCAATACTTTACAGCTTTGTACATAACATTATGTAAGCAGAAACATAATTTCACAATGAAAAAAATCAAGATTTCAGCAAGGACAATTTTGCTTTCTTAGATATATTTGCACAATTAAATGAAGGAGGGTATGAATTTGGGCTGGCATTGATTTTAAGCAATGTTTCCTATTTACCTAGGCATCTGCTAGAAGGGGTAAAAGAGTAGAAGCCATATAGCTGTGCTAGGTAGTCATTTAAAAAATGTCAACATCAGTTGCTACTTGTTGCACTGGGACTAATAACAATAATAAAAAAATCTGTCATCACTTTGCTGTATCATGGAAACAGTTCTATGTAGCTTAAACCAGAGGTCCCCAACCTTTTGGGCACCAGGGACCGGTTATATGGAGAAGTTTTTCCATGTGCTGGAGGGTGCACAATTTTGTGTGCTGCCTGCATCCCGTGGATGGGGCTTTGCTTGTTTGTACAGCCTGATTGCTGGCATGCTGCAGCCTGGTAACGGTCCATGGACCGAGGGTTGGGAACCCCTGGCTTAAACAATAAATTTCTTAAACTGAAATAAAAATTATAAGTTCCCAAAAGAATCCTGGTAACGGCTTTTATATGTATTTTTAATCCATATTTTCTTTACAAATAAACTGAGAACTGAAGCAGCCAAATCCATTCTTTTGCCGAGCTATTTAATAATTGAGGATATGAATATAAGCCTCTGAGAGACAATGTTAGAACCTAACTGCTTATTTCTAAAGTTTTTTAAATAATTACCCAAGCAAATCTGTAACAGGGATTTTACACTTTTAGAGTGCAGCTTTTATTTGCTGAAATGCAAAATTACATAAGATAAATATGGCTGAATCAATAAATTTATTCTGATAAACATGCATGTTTTAGCTTCAGAATAGCTTTGAATATCCTTTTAAAACAATCCATCTTGGGGGCATATAAACATAAATGAGATGATAGACATAATTGTCCAACCTGAGTCAAATGTCAGGAGATAAAAATTCATATGCATGTAATCCAATCTGCAGAATTGAATTTTCTTCCTGTAAAGGCAGACAGGTTTTTTATTTTCCTTTTTAGATTCTGACTAATTATTTCATCTGAACTTTATTTTTTTAAAAAAAATTATTTATTTTTTTAAAAAAGGAAATGATCAGCCAAACCAATTTAGAAAGAAAAAGTCAGGGGAGGGGAAGCTCTTTTAATTAATTTACAATAATTTACAATCATTTTGTAAAAAGGCATTACAACTGATCAAACTGGAGAACGCCTGACTATTTTACAATTATAGGTACAGAATTTAAATATTCAAGCTTGTGATGAAAAAGCGGCAAGGTGGTCGCAGCGTATAAAGTAAACAAGTAGCTTTGGAAAGTGAACTTAGGTCATTAAATCCTTTGAAAAAAATCCTCTTTCCTGAAATATAATCACAGATTATCATGTGAATACTCATCTAAAACCATAATTTAAATTGTATTCAGGATAAAACTATTGACAAGGAATTCAGATTAAGATCCAGTCTAAGTTGGGCAGTGTTGAGGTCCCTGTAAAAAGTAAACATTTCCTATTTCTTTAAAAAAAATATGCCACAACATTTGCAGCACAGTGCAGCATTAAAACTTTAAATACAAAAATATTTCTTCTTCTGTGGGGATAATATAACTAGCATACTGGAAAGTAGTAACAATACTGCTACTTAGAGCACATCCGGTCCACATCTTTCAAGTCATGTAAGGCAATTACTGTGTTAGTTTATTGTGTATGGCTAAAAAGAAGTCCATGAAATGTTAAGTCTTTGCTATGTTTTCCGATTACTCCACATATGTTCTGGTGTACTTTTGTGATCTGTTGAATGGTCAAAAGGAGATCTATGTCCTAAAGGAGATCGAGAATCATAAGGTGACCGTTGATCTAATGGTGACCTGGGCCCACTACTGGAAGCTCTGTGGTCCATTTGCCAGTCTGAGTGATACCTATAATCTCTTGAAGATTTATGATGACTGTAGTCTGAACTGGATCGATGATCTAAGTGTATCCGGTGATCTAAATGTGATCGGCTGTCTTTAAATCCTCCTTCCAGATTCAATCTGTGATCTCTATTTCTGTGATCATCTAACTTTCTATGTTTACTATCACTGTAGTATCTGAAAATTAAGAAAAATAATTATTACAGTGGAAGCTAACTTAAAACAATATAGCTTAGAATGTGCATCTCAAATTTCTTTATAAAGGTTTTACAACTTTCTAAAAGTAAAGCTGCGTTCTTGGAAATGTGGAAGTTATTTATACATTTGTCAAAATTAGAAACCACCCATCTCCTCACAGAAAAGATTCCCCCCCCTTTTTGGTGTGTGTGTGTGTGTGTGTGTGTGTGTGTGTGTGTGTGTGTGTGTGTGTGTGTGTGTAGTCTTGGGACATAAAAGCTGAAAAGCAACCTTAATTCAAGATATCTGCTGTAATGGCAAAGGGCTATTTTTTCCTATCCTCCAATGATTATGGAACTTAGAATTTCTAAAACAGAGTGTTTCCAATGCAAATACTATTTTCACAAGGGGGAAACCTGTTTCGTGACTGCAATAGAAAAGAGTATAATTTTCTCTTTAAATGCTGATTCCTTTAATAATTAACTTTTCAAAAAAGATGCCTTTAATATTAATATACATATATTTAATATTACACCTAACCAGCCACCTGAGCTGAAAAAAAATCACAAAAAGAAAATAAGGAAACTATGCTGGGTCAATTACTCAGAATATATAGAGATAAATTTGGTTAAAAAGGCAGATTCTACAGGAACAGGGGAAATGTGTAACATAGATTTCTTTCAGGCACCAGTACAAAAACTCTTTGAGTAGAAGTACTCATAAGCCTCTATTCTTTTCCACCTAACTGTTGAATTATTTATTTTTTTGAACAGGAAGGTGACAATATTGCTGGCTTATAACTCATATATTTGAAGCAGTCCATATGGAGTCATCCCAATGCTTCTGCACTGATACACAGATCACAACCAATTTTTACTTGTTAAAAGGTAGTGTGGCCTATAGCTTGACTTGCCCACTTTCCTCTATTCATTTCATTACCAATTGTACCTCCCCAGTAGTTTTATTTCCGAGATTGTGAAACAATATGTATCAACTGCAGACTCGGGTCTCTGAACCCTGTTCAATGCTAGGGATGAAGCAATTTGAGTTCCTTCAGCTGAACAATGTTCTCTGCCGGAAGTCCAGAAGTGTGGCAGCATCTGCCGTCTGGAATGAGGCTCCCCCTAGATATGGCTGGCCTCCACTTGTGGAAGTTTGTAGGGACTTGATGACCTGGGTTTTCTTATAGAACTTTGGTAAGTGAAGTTCCCTTGCTTTGTGTGGATTTCCCCCCTTTTTTCACTCCTACCTAATTTTCATCATTTTTTATTTTGTTACACTCATGAGCCAGTAACACTGGAAATTGGGTAACATACAAATTTAATAAATGCATGAATAAAATAAACACTGGAAATCTATTGTTATACAGGTAGCCGTCGAGTTTCCACAGCAATTGGGTCCAAAATTTCCATTGCTAAGTGATGCAATAATAAAGTGAGACACCATATGACTGCATTGCTTAGCAATGGCAATACCTGCCTCACTCCTTCCAACAAGCAAAGTCAGTGAGGTAGCCAGCGGGAAGTTGCAAATCCCAGATAAGGAGGCAGGTAAATGGCCATTGCTGGGTGGGAGAGAGTGGGAGAGGGAGTGAGGATCTGAAGATGGCTGTTGAGGCAAGATACAAATTCAGTGAGGCTTAGGGTGGTTGCTGCTGGATGGGAGAAGGTGCACAAATGGAAGGGCTTGGTGTGACTGCTTCTGGGTGGGGGAATGGCTATGTAGGGTGTGGGTGGCTGGCAAGGTGCGAGTGCACACGGGCTGATGGAGGGTGCATGGATGGGAGAGGCTTATCTGAGCAACTTGTGACCCTCTTTACTGGCTTCCCCATTGATTTTGCTTATGGGAAGCTGGTAGAGAAGGTTATAAATGCAATCACATAAACACAGGACACTGCGACTGTCCTATCTGCAAACTGGCTGCCTAGTGTCTAGATCTAGGTGCTGGGATGATTGGAACTTCAAGTACCGGTTATAACCAACATTCATACAGCAGAAATTTTAACTTTGAATGATTGCTGAATAAGTAATTGTTAAGTGAGGAATACATGCCAAGTATAAGAACAGAAAGTAATAGTTGCCACATAGTATCTTCAACTGGCATCTTATCTGCTCTCTTCTCAGGGGGTGTGTTTGTGAGAGGAGAATAAACTTCTTCTCATGTAGATTTATGTAGTTTGTTTCTTTTCCTACTGTCTTTTCCTACTATATTATGATTACTGTTCAAGGTGTGTTAAATATGTTACTGAATTTAAAGTTATGTAAATAAATGTTAGCTATTTTGTGAACAGTACATACTTATCTCATTAATGATAAATATGAATTATGAAATGTTTAGGAGCATCAGACTCAAGAAATGTCACAGGACTTACCTATTATCCTGTTTATAGTGATCCCAATCTCTATGATCTTTTCCATTGCTGAAAGTGGAATAAGGCCTTTTTCTTGAATCACTTTTTTTGTAAGAATCTCCATGAAGTCTGTCTTTGTGATGATCATGATACTGTGATAAGTATCTATCAGAGGAATAACTGTCCCTACTACTGTCATCATGATTTGTGTTCTCTTTTAACCGTTCCACATCTGCTTAAATGGAAATACAGAGGTGCATCAGCAATTTATATATTTGTAAATGCTTGCAAATAATTATCTTTAACATAAGGTATTTTACATTATTTATATCAATATACACACATCTCTGTGCAAATTATTATTATTTTTTAAACTGGAGACCTGTGAAATTCAGGGCAGTATAAATACTGATTGATATGCCATTTGGTTTGTGGAAAATTTACATTAAATAGGTTTATACTGAATTGGGAATGGAAATATTTTCCCATTTTACAGAGATATTTAAAATTGGAATACCAAACATTTGGACAGCATGTCCTTATAATACAATGTTGCATAATAGTTATATCTTACCTGGATTTCTAATCAAATTTGTGTTCACACAGCTATTGATATTCTGTTCATTATACTGCTGAAAAAAATTAAATAAAACATTATCTAGGTTTCATTTGATAACTTTCAACTAGATCAGGGGTCCCCAACCCCCTGTCCATCGACCGGCACCGGGCCACGGCATGCCACAAAATGGGCCGTGCAAATAAGCAAAGCCTCATCCACAGGATATAGGCAGTCTGCGAAACCCAACCCCCCCCCCCCGAACTGCGGAAAAGTCTCTCTCCACAGAACAGACCCCTGGTGCTCAAAAGGTTGGAGGTCACTGAACTAAACCTATTTCATAACAAAACAGCATGCAGCATTATCTACAAGTATTTAATAACCCGCCTCCCCATTACCTGTGTTTCCTGGCGCTTTTTAATTGCATGTTTGTACAATTTGTGTAGTTTTCTGGCATCAAATTCAGTAAATTTGGAAACAAAAATCCACAAATTCCTAAAATTAAAGAAAAAATAAAAAGATTCAGTCTTAATTTTATGAAACCCCTTTCACAGGTTACATTTCTCAACTACCAGTAAATTGCTGCTATGATTTAACACTGCCTTATTTATTGAATGCTCTTATTCAAAGACAAATTAGACCATGTTCCAGATAAAAAATGAATTGGGTAGCTAATTATGGAATAATTTGCATACAAATACAGGAAAAGACATTTTAAACTGGGCAGAGAATACTTGGTTCCAACATATTATTTTAACACAGTAACAGCTGTAACAGAGATCAGCTTCCACCTAGTGGTACTCCTATAAACTGTTTAATGATAAAGCAACTAAAAGCTTGATAGATCTGTGTATTTACTTACTTTCTCCACTGTTTAATTTGTTCAGGATTTGTGTATTCTTTTAGACACTCTGTTATATGGTCTCCAATTTTTATGAGACACTGTCTAGTATGTTCTAGTTGTTCCCTTTCTGAAAGACCTTTCTCTGGCCTATCCAGTTGTTTCAATGCTGCTTTGACAGGCCTCATTCTTTCTTTGCACTGTAAAAAAATGACATTCATATATTCACAAACAATATTCACAGTTCTGCTAAACAAGTTGATACTTACATACACACTAAAATATACAGCAGAATGATTCTGCTTACCATTCTCTTATACTGAAAGCTTTCTATTACAAATTAATTTACCTTTCAATTTTATATTAAACATTAGATTAAAATAATCAATATTGAAAACTCTTTAACTTTATGGACAAGTAGATCAGCATTACTGAAATGGAAAAAGCAAACAAAAATTCAGAGGTATCTCTAAGTTACCTATTACAACCTCTATCAAGTTTTCCCAATTATTTCAGACTCTGTTGCCTAGACAAGATACTCCACAGTCTTGTTTTAAAAACAAGTCACTATAGTTGACTATAATTACACCAAAATGGCTCTGTTTTGACAGACTGAAAATAATTTTTTTAGCCACATGCTGTTATTTCCTATTTTTCATTATTTATCCAATACAAAGGCTTGGGCATGTATATTTGACATGATATAGATTGTCATAAATAGGACATTTGGTAAGAAGGAACTCAATAAAATTATGTTTTGCTTTTCTACCACAAGATGTGTGATTCCTTTTCCTCATCTAATTTTGCTCCTTCCAGCAGCACAATCAGAAATCAAATGATTTCCCCCCATGGAACAAAACAAAAAGAGTATCAATCCATCTATAAAGCCCACTTTGTGATTATTTAGAATTTATGAATTCAAGAATGTTCAATATGTGTAGTACCAGTAGATGGCAAAGGATCTTTTAATAATATAATTGTTCCATAGATCTAAAGAAATATGGAGTCATGTATGTTCAATGCATTATATTATATTTTGGAATTTTAGTTAAAAATCAATTGTACGCAATTCACACAGCATATTATTCACATGGGGCCAAATCCCAGGCAAATATATAGAGTTAAAGTCTCTCAAGCAGCTAGTTAAAGTGCAGTAGAATAATCTAACATTCAATGCTGCAATAGCTATCCTCCTAAAAGAAGATCTAACAGGTTAAGGTGTTAGGCCAGGACTAGGAAGATCAAGTTTTTAGTCCAACTTCAGTCATGGAAGCTCACTGGGTGACTTAAGATCAGTCACTCTCTCAGCTCAGTCCACCTCAACTGTTGTACAGAAAAATAGAAGCACTAACTCTAATCTGAAAATCAGGATATACATTTATCAAGTAACAATAGATATTCTGCCATAATCACTCAACATCTTGGCCAGCAATGTCATTTTGCAAGAGACTTTGAAGAGATGGAAATGGTATATCAGAGCCCAACAAAACTCTGCAAAATTTTGCCTGCTGAGAAAATTCTACATGTCTTGCTCCCATATTAGCCAGTGATAAAACATCACTTGTCTAGAAATCAGCCAGAGCCCCGAATCCATTACTTATTTAACTCTATATAGATTTTTCCTGACAACAGATTGTACATATGCAATTCACAATAAGACAAGCAAAGTGATATGATCAAGTGACAATGCGTTATTTCATTGCTAGTGCTGAAGATAATCTTACTATACTGAAGGTTTTCTGATCCAACTCTTCTGAATCTTCTGATATAGGAACCGGTTCACTGCTTGCTGTTATATGAACAGGTGTGTCTGCTGAAGGAGTTTTCTTTATTTTGTCTTTGCTGTCAGATTTATAATCATTTGTCTATAAATAAAAAAATAACAGTCTAAAATGCTGCCAACAATGAACACTCAACTCAACTCAATGGATACTCAACATTTTACATATGCTTTATTATTGTATAGCACCCACCTGCCAAGATTTCATTCAAAGAGCGAATTGAAGGGGAAAAAAACCCCACAGCTTACAAATGAAGCATATTATTGAATGGGGGGGGGGCAGAACCTCTGTCGCAGGTTTGTGTATTCCACTCACTTCTCAACATGGGATAGGTTTGTTAATACGTTTAAAAAGCTGTAATCAAACTATAATATTTTATGCAAGAAAAGAAAAAAAATAACTATCATTATTTAATTTTAATTACATTTTGCTGTTTTTCCTGCCCCGTGTGCATTTGGAGTGAAGCTCCTGATATAACATGTGAATGCCTTAGAAAAGAATGGCCAGTCCTGAGTACTAGAATACAGTCCTGTCTATAAAAGAGATCAGGCAATCTAATAGGGCTTAATTACCTTTTCTTCTTTAACTTCTTTTTCTTTGTGGGTATATTCCTTTCCTTTGCTTTCCCTCTTTTCTTTCATATCTTTTTCTTTCATCTCCTTCTTGTCCTCCTTTTCTTTTTTCTCCCTTTTTAGTTCCTTTTTATTTTCCTTAGTTTCTCTTTTTTCATCAGCCTGCTTTTTCAAAGCAATATCTGCATCAAGATTTTCTTCATTTTCTTTTTCCATTTTTATCTTACTTGGATTTTTCAATGAAACCATTTCATCCTATAACATATAAACATATCTGCTGAAATGAAAAATCTAAACATTTGTTGACATATAAATGCACAAGTGATATGCATCAAAAACAATAAGAAACAGTAATATTATTTAGCAATTTTGTTATTTGTTCTGACATATTCTTCTATTTTACTCCACTTATCAATTATTGGCTGCAAGAAGTCTTTTTTATATCTCTTATTACTCTGTGAAATACAAGTAGATTGTTTGAGGTGTTAAAATACCTGGACATTCTTTGCTATTTAAATCTAATTTTCAAATTGATTCTATTTATAATCAATGATGAAGGAAACAATGCTTAAAGTATGTACCATTTCCCCATTTTTGTATTATTTTCCATTAATGTATTTCATTAAAACAAAAATCTTTTCAAGCAACAGTTGATTTTACAATTTTAAACAGTTGTTTAATCACTACTTATTTTTTCTTCAGCCTAGCAATCACCGGAAAAATCCTAAGTTTTGTAACCTAAAAATAATCACAAAACAAATAAAACATCCTGGTAGAGTCTGAATGTCTAATATTTCATTCTACTTTTTATTTTAATACTGTGATTAAGTTTTTTCTTCCATTCTTTTTTTACTATTTATCATCTTAACTGCATTTTTTTAGTCTCTGCTTTTAATGCTTTAATAATTTTATTAGAACGTTGTATTCTTGACCATATTAAGAGGTCCTTCTTGGGTCAAAATCTCAGCCATATTTTTAAGATTTTAAGAAACAAATAAATGTAATCTTATTTTACAATTTGCTAAAAAAAAAGTTAGGAATGAAAACAAGCAGGAAACTGGGGATTAGGAAGACTACATTTTTTTATTCTTAGCTCAGGAAACTTTAAATAATGTTACATTTTTGAGAAAAAAAAAGACATTTAAAAACTCTACCTACTTTTCTTTGCTCTTTTTTGTATAAAAAATATCTTCTTAAAATCTGTATTTCAAATGATTTTAATTTAAGGTTCATAAGTATTTTCAAAAACACAGGAATTAAATATCATAAATATATGCAATGTTCCACTGCTACTTAGCGATGATTTTTAATAAGAGACATTTATACAATATACAATAAATAGAATATACAATAAATAGAATATACAATAAAACAGGTTTAAGAAAAAATCTTACATTCCTCAAGTTGTTGCCTTAGCTAGTTTATTATGAGATCTAAAGCACAAATACACCAGGAATCACCTTAGAAATTTCATTTAGATTCTGAAGCTGTGATTTTGATACCAGTCTTATACCATTTTTCCCCGAAGTGAAGACTGGTAATAAAAAAGTTAAATAAATTTAGCAGATAACATTCCCAATATATTCACCTTGCTATCTTCTTCCTCTTCATCAGACTTATCTGAAGGTGGTGGTGATGTGTCACTCTTTAACTCCTCTTTCATTTTTATTGCTTTTATGGTCTTGCTTTTTTTCATTCTTATCTTTCTTCTCTTTGAACCTCCCTAAATATCAGAAAAGTATTCTCAGTATCAGAAAGATAGTAAGGCTTATTTTTAGTGTCTTATTGTTTTTTTAAAATCAATGTGTTGTGTTTTAAATTTTAGAAATAACAAGAATCATATTCAGAACTAATTAATAAAGAAGCGTGAACAATTTTTTCAGGGAGAATCCTGATTTAACCTATCTATATGTGGACAAATATAGTTAATTTCAAAATATAAACAATGTAAACAAATATATTACATATATATAAGATATACGTTCAGCGTACTGCTTCTTGCTGCAACAAAATTTACTTACTATTCCAGAAAGTCTTTGTGCTTCTTTTCTTGCGATGTCCTTATTTAATAATTTTATGAGGTAGTCTGCACGGGTCTGCAATTGCTTGGCTTGGGGTTTCTTATCTGGATCATCTGGCAGAATCTGAAAGTACAATTTAAAATATTTTCTTCAGAATATATCAGTACAATATAATGGATAGGGACAGAAAAGCTAAAATTGAAAATACATTATAGGTTTATATATTTATTTGATTCAAATCTGATGCTGCCCATTCCAAACTGATTTTGGGAGGCTCACAATATAATATATGATCCTAACCAATAAATGTTCATATTAAAGTAGAATATTTTGATTTATTTAACTTCCTACCATCCTTATATCTATCTGTATAGTGCAATACATAAAAACACTGAGAGGCAGTTTTTGTTCTGGGGAAAATAGGAGGAGGAAGGAACATTATGTATGTTCATCACCTTGAATTATAAAGTAATAAATATGGGATAAAATTAACAATAAATAACTCCAGCATGATGAAGAAAACTTACATATACAGATGAAATGGAATAATAAGGAATTAAATATAAGTTCCTATTCACTCTTGTAATATTACCCTGCTACTATAGAGCAAAGTGTAGATTCAATTTGTGGCACTTTCTCTTATGGACACATACTGAATTGAATAGTCGGCATTATTGAGGATGGAATATTTACATTTTGATGGCTTTGAAATATTTTGCTGATTAAAATGCAGTAAAAAGATAAGGGGAATCCATAGAAGAATATTTTCCTGATTTTTCTGTGGACATCATAGAAATAGTAAAAATATAAAATCCAAAATAATTTAACTAAGATAGTTTGGCACCAATTAATCTCTCACAATACAGTTCCAAATAAGTCACTGTGAACACTCCACTAAGAAACAGCTTTGATTTTTCAAGCAACATTATGTTCAATGAATAGAAAAAGGATTTACCTTGTGTGTCAAGTTGAGATCTGGGTCCATTTTTATCATTTCCCAGCTACCATATCCATACTCATAAATGCCTATTAGAAGGTTGGAATCATCCTCCCTACCCCAATCCATATCAAAATGAGCAGCCTTAGTGTGACAAGGAATGGTGTATCTAAACAAAAAGTGAGTATACTTCAGAAGTAATGTCTAAGAATAAAGCGCAAGCAATAAAAAAAAAACCAGAAAGAACACGTGTTTAGCTAAATATTTATTACTATTGTAAACTTGTTTTTCCACGGTATCTTAACAGTTCTGTGAAAACAGCTAAATGATGAATGATCTGTGATCATTTTGGGATCATAAAAATGTTTAACATGAGGTTATTTGGGTGGAGTGATATACACTGATCATTACACCACAGTCACTTTAATAGTGTCACCAAATTGGCAATAGGCCAATTAGCAAGCCCAGGAGCTAATTCAGAATTCAGCCACAATAAAATAGCAACTCCTTAGTGTGAATGAAATCACGTCAGAGGGATTAAGAATGTCAGAGTTTCTGCTTAAGGAAACAAGTACGGACATACAAACCTCTTCCTTTCCTCTGGATCTGAAGGAATGGATTTATGTAATGGTGCCAGCTCTTCTTCATGTGAGATGACCAATTTTGCATTTACTTGTACCCCTGATATTCGGAATGTTGGGCCTTTAACTTTTCCAAGCCTACCTCCTTAAATTTAGAATGCAACAAAGGACAGTATTAGACTTTCTCCAAAACATGAAAAAACCAAAATGCCCTACAGTTCAATACAAACCACCGAAAGGAGGTACAGCCAATTAAACAAAATTATGCCTCAAAAACAAATAATGCATAAGATACAAAGTGACTAGGAATGTTGACTTTTAAAAATATCAGGTAAAACCGAAACAGTAATTATGAATAAAAATAGTACTTCACTTATGACCACAATTGAGCCCAAAATTTCTACTGCTAAGCAAAGCAATTTGCTAAGTGAGTTTTGCCGCATTTTATTATCAGTTGTTAAGCAAATCACTTCTTAAGTGAATAATGTGGTTGTTAAGTGAATCTGGCTTCCCCCATTAACTTTGCTTGTTGGAAGTCAGCTGAGAAGTTTACAAATCGTGATCACATCACCCCAAAACAGTGCACCTGTCATAAATACATGCCAGTTGCCAAGTGATCACGTGACCACACAAGGATCTTTCAACGGTCGTAAATGTGAAAAATGGTCATAAGTCACTTTTTTTCAGTGATGGTATAACTGAATGGTTGCAAGTCAAAGACTATATAAATTCTTACTACAGTATTACCTAATATTGGTAACATTATGTATATAGGTAGTCCTCGAGTTATGAGTATTTGTTCAGTGACTGTTCAAAGTTACAGCCATGCAAAACAAATGGTACTTATGTCCAGATCCTGAAGTTATAGTCACTGCACTGACCTTGCAGGCACATGATCAAAATTTGGGTACCTGGCAGCCCACTCGGACTTATGAGTGCAGGTGTGCTTCAACTCCCCCCATCCCGGTCACATGCCTCCACCATCTCTGTCCTTTTGGGTCCCTGCACTCCATACCCAGCTGATCTTTGCTGTCTATCTCCTTTTTGAGGTAGCACATTATAGTTTCCTCAGATGATCTGGGGAAGAAGCTCTCATGCAGCCAGCAGCTGCCTTGCAAGGGGCCACACCTCATCAGCAACAGAAACAAGAATATGGCAAAGTCAACTGGAGCAGTGGAGCACTGGGTGGCAGGAGCCTTGGAGTACAGGTTGATGAAGATGGCTGGGCCTCTCTGGAGTAGCTGAGGCTTTCATGCCATGTTGCTGGAGCTTTCTGGGTTGGCTATGGCTTCACTGGGCTGGGGTGGCTGCATGTTGCAGCTCGGGCTTCTTCTGGGCCCAGAAGCACTGCACCAAAAATCCCAAGCTGTAAAATGGCAAACAGCCACTAGACTGCACAGTTCTGGGGGAGCCTTCAGCCATGCAAGCCTGGTGCAAGAAAGCCAAATGGCAGAGATGATGAAGAATAGGCAGTTAGGTGAAGCTGAAGAGGAGACAGCCACTTATCTTAGAAGAACTGAAGCTCAGGGCTGGAAGGAGCCAAGCTGGGAATAGTCTGGATAGGGTTGAGTCCTTGATTAACAACAGGTGGGATTTGGTTAATGACAGCAAAGGAGAGTCTGGGATTGCTATCACTAAGTGATGCATTCATGTGATGTCACACTTTATGACATCACTTAGTGACAGAAATTCTGGTTCCAATTGCTAATGTAACTTGTTAACTACTTGTATGGCACTGTTTTCGTTGTTCTTCAAGTTTAAGAGGCAGATCAATTCTTAGGTTCTTAAAACAGTAAGGTTTTACACAACGAAAAATTAGCCCAGTAGATAAAAGAGTAGTTAATATAGCATTTTAGAAATACATTAATGTGCATATTTAGAATTAGTCAAAAGGGACAAAAGAATGGGAATTATTGAAAATAATTGATTGTGTCTCCCATTCACTTTAGAACTATTTTTCTGTTTTTAATTTTTATGATTGTTGCCAGTAACGTTTTAAGGTAACAAACATATTATACTGGATATATCTGGAAACAGGACAAGGATAAAACACTACAACAAATGGGAAACTGCTGTCAGCCATATCAGTAATAACCTGTTCATAAACTCAAGGGCACGATCAAGGGATGTTATGATTTTTTATGGAGCAAAAAGGTGTAATCTGAACTCTTTGCTTGGGTTCATACCACATAGCTGTTGTTAAGCACTCTGTACCTGCTCTTTCTTGTCCAGATGAGTTGTCTTTCAAAGCTTTGAAGCATCCATTATGTACAAGCTCTCCAAGCCGCCGGAGATCTATCTCAGATTTATCCACTAATTCAGCATCTCTAGCTATGGCATCTAATCTGCAACAGGTTAACATTACAATTACAGTTTCAATATATCAAACTTTTTACTTCATTAAAAAAACCTGGAAAACCATTAATGCTAGACATTTTAATAAAATTCTTAATAAGGAAGGAAAGTCAATCGATCCATCACCTTGTAATAGATCTTTAAAATTCTTATTTGAAAATTTCCAGGCCGCTGCCGCCTGGATCTGAGGCCAGGGGACGCTTCTGCGGCCCTCCGGAGGTCCAATCTGGGTGCCGGAGGTCTTTTCCAGGCCACTGCTGCCTGGATCTGAAGCCAGGGGACGCTTCTGCACCTCTCGAGGACCGATCCACGTATCTGAGGCCTTTTCCAGGCTGCTGCTGTCTGGAAATGGGCCTCTGGATGCATGCTGAAGCATCCCCCGGCCTCAGATCCAGGCGGCAGCAGCAGGAACCGTGGCAGAGAGGATATGGATCTTTTCAAATTGAGTCCAGTGTGGCAGGAAGGGAGAGGGAAGCATAAGATATCTTAGTAGGTCAGCGAGGTCTTCAGGGCCTGTTCCATCACTAGGCCCAGTTGTTAAGTGAATCTGGCTTCCCCATTGACTATGCTTGTGAGAAGGTCGCAAAAGGTGATCATATGACCTTGGGACCCAGCAACGGTCCTAAATATGAATCAGCTGCCAAGCATTTGAATTTTGAACACATGATCATGAGGCTGCTGCAAAGGTTGTAACTATGAAAAATGGTCATATGTCACATTTTTCAATGCCTCTGTAACTTGAACAGTCACTAAATGAACTGTTGTAAGTTGAGCACTACCTGTATTGTGCCTTATACTCTTCTACGTTGGCATATGGTCTTATCTTCTGAACTTATTTTGTGCCCACTTCATTTTTATCCTTTTAACAGACTCTGATTCTAAAAACTGTATGTTTTGCTTCAACTGAAGCCTGTTTCTCTACTTTTTTTACAAATTTGTCTTCTGGGTACAGAAACTATAATGCTCTGATATTGCAGTCTTCTTATTAAAAGTTACTCAAAACATTTTGGAGCAAAAACCATAGCAATATATAATTATTCTGTCTTACTGCATTCATTATTCTAATAATTTCACAGGTTTTTTTCCCTTATTTCCAAAGATTTTCCTTAAAGGGGAAGAATAAGAAAAGATATCCCTATATTTTGTGTATGAGAGAAAACATTGTTTTTGAAGCCTTCGTATCTCTAGTTATCCCCTTATTATTTACTTATAATCTAAACTTGACAGTTCTATTTACTGAATTGAAAATAGAAAAATCCTTGTTGCAAAAGTAAGTTAATGTTACTAGAATTCTGGTTTTCATGCACAGAACTGTATATATTTTATTTTTGTTTGTCTTTAAAGTAGCACTGGAATGCTTCCCTACAGTTAAAAGAGAAATTCCACATATTCATTATATTTACCTTTCAAGAGGCCCCCCAAATTTCTTGTAACTTTTGATAAACCTAAGAAAAACAGTTTGATAAATTGAGAAATTAATATTCTTTTAAAATAAACCAATATAAGCAAACATCAAAGTAACTTATTTATCAATCTTAGTGAATAATGACAAATAAAAATGAATGTCTCAGAGTTCATATGAAGACATTCGAAAAACTGATGTGCATATATAAATTATCAGATACTTTATACTATCTGCATAGTATAACAGTACAAATTAGCAAAGAACATGTGATCATTTATTGATTTATATTTATCAATTTGAAGAATGTTGGATATTTATTTAAACTATACCCCAAATCTAATTAATTTCTACTGCTATTTGAATTTACAGAAGCATTCAACTATACCTTTTAACTTCCAACTTAATAAAAACCTATGAATTTTAATAGAATTTTTCATCTTTCCAAATGAAAAAATACCATTTTCACACATATATAAAACACATATGCTATAAATCTAATTAATTTCTACTGTTATTTGAATTTACAGAAGCATTCAACTATACCTTTTAACTTCCAACTTAATAAAAACCTATGAATTTTAATAGAATTTTTCATCTTCCCAAATGAAAAAAATACCATTTTCACACATATATAAAACACATATGCTATAGGAGAGTTTTTACTTTGTAAATTGAAATAGATTAGGATATGCATTATGATGATGTGTTCCTTACCTCCGAATCTCTGCATCACTAAATCCTTTAATGTTTTCCCGGGGAATGGTCCGTGGTCTTCCACGTTTTTTTGGTCGTTTTCTTTCTGAGACAGAGTCACTATCTGATCCAGAATATCTTCTATTCCTACAACGTCTTCCTTCATTTCCATTAAAACTTATCTATTTTTTTTAAAAAAAGAGTGCAGAGGTGCTCAAATTCAATCTCAACATTTAGCATTTCAAATAAATAATTGTTCTAAAACAAAAGACAATTAAAAAGTGAACCCTTTTCAAAAGTCAAGCTTACTTGTTTTGCACAGTTTCTCATTCTTGGAAGCATATAAATTTCTTCCAATTCCTTTTGTCTTTCTTCTTCTTCTAATCTCCGTCTCTGGACCTCTGGAATTATTTCTTCCCAGTTTCTTGAATTTTGTTCAGGCTCCAATTCAATGTCATCTTCATCCATATTGGAAAAATTGGCCACCTGTAAAAATATTGTTTTATCAGATATAATACAAATGCACACACTATACATTGAACATATTATGACAAAAATATATAAATTACCAAATAAACCCTGCTTAAAGAATATCTAGATCTTTATAGTCGACAAATCAATGCTTTTGTTCCAAATCCTCAAAACCAGAATTAGCAAGAACAAATGTTCATAACCAAAGTTAATCTAATTCTCTCTTAGTCCCACACCCCATGGTCAAATATCTTATTTGTAAGTTAAGAAAGAAGTGAAATCTAATCAATAGCTTCTGACAGAACAGAAAAGGGAAAAATTATTATTTTTTTATTTTGTTGCAGGTTCCATATAACTTTAAGATCTATAAAGTTGTAGGAACTCTATAAAATAGATTATATGGATATTTGGATAACTATGGAGCAGAGGAAAAATCTGGATTTTTCATGGCAACAATTTGGATTGACAACTTTAAAGAATGAGAATTTTTATATGACTAGTACAGATATCCTCACTTACCAACTACAACTGGGATCAACAACTTTGTCACTAGGTAACAAAGTAATAAAGTGAAATATGTGACCGCATCCAATTTATGATATCAGTTCTGTGCAGTCATTAAGTGAATACCCATGGTTGTTAAGCATAGCATCACATGACTTCAGCTTGTGACTTCCTGCAGCTTTCCCATTGACTTTGCTTGCTGGAAGCGAGATATGAAGGCTGTAAATAATGATCACATGATCATTGTAAATGCACACCAGATTCACAATCATATGATCCTTAATTCAAGGAGGTCATGAATCTTTTTTCAGAGCTACTGTAACTGAAGAGTTACTGAAAAAGCAGTCAGTGAGGATTATCTGTGTTGTAGAAAGCCCAAGCCAATAAAATACTGAAAAGAAACCAATTCATTTAATTGTGATACTTGCACATTCAACCAAACGTACTTCAATTATTTCTGTTTCTCTGCATTAAAAGCTCTGATGTAATGGAAATAGAGAGTAAACTAATTTAAATTAGAGCCCTACATATGCTTATGTGGAAATGAATACCATCAAATTTAGAAATGTTCATTTTCAAGTAAACATACATGTTAATACCTTAAACTGAGAAAGCAATTCATCTCCCACACTTAATGGTCCAGTTTCATTTTCCCGTGTTTCAGCTCTATTCAATATTTCATCTATGTCCATTTCCTAAGAATATGAAATAAAATTATATAATTGAATTTGAGCTTTGAATACAGATAAATAAAATGCAAGGAAGTTTAATTTGTCTGTACCTGTGGTTCCTGTTCTTCCCCTTCTGGTTCTTTGAAAAGTTCCTCAGCACCAAACTTTAGAATAGCTGACAGTTCCTCTTTGTTAAAAGGAGCAGAGCTGAAAATGAAGAATAATAGTTTAAAGGAATGTTGAGGATACCTCAACCTGTATATTTCAACCTAGGCCATTCATGTGATGTTGTTGATTCTGCTTCCTGGTATCTGGAGGGTGTGCAAGTGTAGATGAACTTGAACAGATTCAAGTTCAATTCTGACAAAACCAAATGGTTCTTATAATCCGCCCTCCTGGCCCTGTGGATATTATATCCTTAGTTTTGCACAGGACAGCAATCTGGGGGTCATCTTGGACTTATAGATTCTCCCCCAAAACCAGGGGGTAGTTGTGATCCAGACAAACTTCACATATAACCAGTGCAACAATTATGCCCATTCTGGATCAGGAAGCCATTCAGATGGTAATTCACACCATAGTCACTTCACAAAAGGCCTACTAGATAAAGTCTACATGGAGCTGTTCCTGAAGCCACTCCAAAGTGCTAGGAGCACAGGCATGGCAGCCCAGGCAGTAATAAGTATGCATACTATGATAACAATAACACCACTGCTCTGAAAGCTGCACTAGTTTTCATTTGGTTCCAGTGTAATTCCAAATGCTGACTACCATTCACTCATACAACCCTTCATAGCTCAAGCATTGGTTTATTTCAAGAACTATCTATCTCCAATATTTCTGTCTGCTCAGTAAGTTCAGGAAAATTAAATGAGATTCAGGACTTCTCAAATAAACAATGTCACCTATTGGGACCTAGGAAGTCTGCTTTTTTAATCACAGCACCTAAATTCTGAAATACTAGAGATCCATTACTGCTGCTCTCCCCACATTCAAAAAGTCACTAAAAATCTGGCTATTTCTAGATCCTGAGACAGAGCAGTTGTTGAGCCCATAGTTTTTATGTATTTTTTTCTTCTGCATGTATATTTATATTTTGTCTCTCCTTCTGTCATTTCATTACACATTTGAATGTGTAAGCTGCCCAGAGTTGTCTGGAGTTGGGCAGTATTTAAATAATCATAATAAATATTTAAAAAATACATTCAAATATACCGTATATTCTGGCGTATAAGGCGACCTGGTGTATAAGACGACCCCCATCTTCGGTGCCGAGCCGCATGCCTAGGAAGTCGTCTTATACGCCGGAAACTACCGTTATTTACAGCGTATAAGACGACTCGGCATATAAGATGACCCCCGACTTCGGCGTCAATTTTAACGCTTGTAAAAGTCGTCTTATATGCCGTAAAGTACGGTAATTGGGTTTTTGATCCTCTGGATCAGGCGGTCCCCAACCCCCAGGCTGTAACCCATTACTGGGCTGTGGCCTTTTGGGACTGGGCCAGGCAAGTTGCATGCACATTTCCACTGATGTGAGTGATCTGCACGCACTTGCAGCTCCACTTGTGCACACACTCATGCATGCACCTGCTGCTCACATGGAACCACCCTCTCTCTCCCCTCACCAGTCCACCAAGCCGGAAAGGTTGGAGACCTCTGCTCTGAATTCTTGTCTCTGATAATGTATAACAAAAAAAGAAATTCTGATTTTGCTCACATCCTTTTCTTCTTCAATACCTATCTCATCCCTCCCATTTTTCTCCTTTTTTAGCAACTTCAACAGAATAGTTGCTGTAGAAGAATGAATAGGAAGGTATCTTCTACCATATTCCAAAAATTAAGGAATGGAGAGAAATGGGAGTTCTCAGTAATATATCTGTAAATGGGCACAAAAACTGAAGTAAATAATCTATCCAGCTTGCATATTCTAGCTGGGAAACCAAGAAGTTTAGTTCAATCTGAGGTAAATAGCTCAGACATTTGGTGATTTGACCGTACCCCTCACTACTTTTCTGATAAACTGTGAAAACCAACTATATTTACAGAAAATGATCAAGTTGTCAAAAGAACTACATCACTAATTAATAAAATATTTTGTACTGTAGGGAGGATCTATAACACACCCACACACCCACCTAGAGGGTGCAGAGCCTGTATGTAATACAGTTTTTCCTGTAGTGTCCATTCTCTGAATAACTAGATGATCTAAAACCATTTTCTTCTTGGCTCTCTCCAAAATGTCTTCTTCCACTGATCCTTTGGTCACTAAACGATAAATGTTAACCTATGCGTAAAAAAGAAAGATTTAAAAGTTACATAGCAAAACAGAAGTTACTATTTGGAGCAATATGCATTCTGAAATGGAAAAATATGTATTTTATTATATAACAACAATAATAATGTTGGAAGGGACCTTGGAGGTCATCTAGTCCAACCTCCTGCTCAGGCAGGAAACCATATACCATTTCAGAGAAATGGCTGTCCAGTCTCTTCTTAAAAACTTCCAGTGTTGGAGCATTCACCGCTTCTGGAGGCAGGTTGTTCCACTGGTTAATTGTTCTAACTGTCAGGAAGTTTCTCCTTAGTTCTAGGTTGCTTCTCTCTTTGGTTAATTTCCATCCATTGCTTCTTGTCCTGCCTTCAGGTGCTTTGGAGTATAGCCTGACTCCCTCTTCTTTGTGGCAGCCCGAGATATTGGAACACTGCTATCCTGTGATCCCCTCGTCCTTCTCTTCATTAAACTAGACATACCCAATTCCATCAACCTTTCCTTATATGTTTTAGCCTCCAGTCCCCTAATCATCTTTGTTGCTCTTCTCAGTTCTCTTTCTAGAATCTCAACATCTTTTTTACATCGTGGTGACCAAAACTGGGTGCAGTATTCCAAGTGTGGCCTTACCAAGGCATTATAAAGTGGTATTAACACTTCATATGATCTTGATTCTATACCTCTGTTAATGCAACCTAGCACTGTGTTGGCTTTTTTGGCAGCTGCAGCACACTGCTTGCTCATATTTAAGTGATTGTCAACTAGGACTCCGAGATCCCTCTCACAGTTACCTCTATTGAGCAAGGTACCACCTGTCCTATACTATACCTGTACACTTGGTTTTTCTTGCCTATATGTAGAACCTTACTTTTTTCACCATTGAATTTCATTTTGTTAGATAGCGCCCAATGCTCAAGTCTGTCAAGATCCTTATGTACCTTAAGCCTGTCTTCTGGAATGTTGGCTATTCCTGCCAGCTTACTGTCGTCTGCAAATATGATGAATTCCCCATCTATCCCCTTATCCAAATCTTGATGAAGATGTTGAAGAGCACTGAGCCCAGAACAGAGCCCTGGGGCACCCCATTACACACTTCCCTTTTACACACTTCACATTTACACAAATGTATTACATTTGAATCATATCTGTGGTGCTTAACTTACAACCAGTTGTTTAATGACAATTCAGAAAGTTAATATGCTTGGAAAGAGTGCTTTATGGCCCATAAAACACGTCTGGGTCTCATAAAATGTAAAAAAAAAAAAAAAAAAAACCCCTCCTCGTATTTTAGGCATTTGGCAATTGGTGACCACAATTTGCAACTTTTTAAACTGGTTTCTGGAAAAAAAAAAAAAAAAGTCCACTCAGGGGAATGGATTCATTTAATAATCAAATGATTTGGACTTACAACCACTGTAAAAATGGTTGAAAAATGGCTCGTGGTGCCATTCAGATGCCAATAAGAATTGTAAGTTGAAGATTACCTGTCTCTAAACTGTTCAAGATATGTACTTAAATGAACAACATGACATATCTGTTTTCAATGAATCATAGGAATAGGCAGCTTTAACTATCTTGATTAACCATTCAGTGAATGCAAATAGAGATAAAATGCTGGATAATTTAAATTTTTGTGCTCTGATATACCCCACAATTAAATTAAAATTTAAATTTCAAACCTGTTTTTTTTGTCCAATTCTGTGTGCTCTAGCCTGAGCTTGCAGATCATTTTGAGGGTTCCAGTCAGAATCAAATATAACAACAGTATCAGCAGATGCTAAGTTTATACCTAGACCTCCAGCTCTTGTAGACAGTAAAAAGCAAAAATCCTGAAATTAAGAGAAGAATGAAATAGTGGGAAAATGCATATGATACAGTAGATATGTGTGAGCTAAGTTGTCTAAGTTAGATGGAAGGAAAATTTTAAGAGTTGACTGCATCTTTTTGCTGCAACCTCATAGGTTTCTAGATTTTTGCAGCTCTATTTGATAGCCCTATCACTTATGCCATAATTTAGTACAGTAAATGCCATAATTTAGTACAGTAAACTTCTAAGTTAACTTATTAATCTTTGTTTAGTGGTCTTTGAATTTAACAGACAAAATGCACTGAATAAATATATGTGCACTGGGTTAGTGGCAGTTGAGGAAAGAAAGGTGCTAGGAAGATTGATGCAGATAAAATCTGCAACACTGACAGCTGCAAAGAAAAAAGAGGAGAGACAGGATAATGAATGAAAGCTTTGCTCTATTACCTGCTCTGCCTATTCATTGTTTTTACTATTACAAGAAACTCCTAATTTGACAGATATTTATCTTTAACAGGTACTTCTTTTCCAACTAGCCTCTTAAATCGGGGGTTTACCATGACAAATTTTTAACCCTGTTTTGTTTGGTGAACCTATAAACACACCAACATTTGTTTCTTCATGTGTACAAGGGGGGAAAAAGACTGCATATTAAGATTATTATTTTTTGTGTTAGTCTCATACTTGTTATGGCGAGCTAAGACTTGAACAAGGAGATCAATAGTTAGCAGCCTATTGTAGAGTTAACAGATGACAGATAACAGATAACACCCTCTAAGGACCTGCAGGAAGTTATGATGGGATTTCCGGTAATCAATAGGAGCATTACCCCTGGCCTCCGGAGATGAGGACTTTAAGTTGCCTCTTCCCGCTAGTGCACAGGTCGGCAACCTGCGGCTTCGGAGCCGCATGCGGCTCTTTGAGCCTTCCCCCTGTGGCTCCCAGCCTCCTCTGCCTTTGTAGACAGAGACAGAGACAGAGAGAGGCAATTGCACTTCCCTGCTTCTCTCTCTCTCTCTCTCTCTCTCTCTCTCTCTCTCTGTGTGTGTGTCTGTGTGTGTGTAAAAGAGAGCGCACTCAGTGTTCTCCGAGGAGCTGAAAAGCTTTCTGGGCGGAGCTCCTCCCTTTCCTGCGTCTCTGAAGGAAGCAGGAAGCAGGAAGGGCAGGAGAGAGCTAGCTAGCCCAGCTAGGCTGACTCAGGAATTCTGGGAGTTGAAGTCCATGAGTCATAAAAGAGACGAGGTTGCCTACCCCGGAGGTTGTTGGACAACAGCTTGAAGCTTGCCAGGTGAGCAGCAGATAGGAGGGGGGGGGGGAGAAAGAGAAAGAGAGAGAAAGAGAGAGAGAGGGAGAGAGAGAGAGAGAATGGGGGAAGAGGAGTGGCAGACCAAGGGCAGGTAGAGAGGGAGGGAGAGAGAGACCCTTTTGACATCTAAAATGAAGATAACACTGCATATATCCTTTTTTTACCTGTGTGTGTATGTAATTTTATTCTCTTAAAGCATTCTCTTGGTGATCATTGTTTTAATAGTATGGATATTCCCAAGAGTCATATTTTTACTTTTATTTTTAATGTGTATGTGTGTGTGTGTGTGTGTGTGTGTGTGTGTGTGTGTGTATACACACACACACATACACCTATAATAAAGGTAAAAAAGGATATATGCGGTGTTATCTTCATTTTAGATATCAAAAGGGTTTTGCGGCTCCCAGTGTTTTGTTTTTGGTGGGAAACGGGTCCAAGTGGCTCTTTGAGTGTTTTGGGTTGCCTACCCCTGCCCTAGTGCAAGGGTACACCACAAAGAAAATAGAGCAAAAGGACCCTACAAGGCTATTCATAAGAAAGAACAGCACTGTAATGGTATGTAAAAATGATCTTGGGAGATAGGACAGTGAGTTGCAACAGGGGAACAATCAGATAAAAGACAGTTTAGCCCACAATAGAAATATGGATGGGAAAAGAAGCTTAGAAAAGTCTCTCCCTAGTTTTTGGGCTGTAAAGGGGATGGAGGGGAAGTACTTTCAGAACTGCAAAATTCTGTTAATGTAACATTACAATAAATAGAATTAATTCATCTGGTCATGTTTACTGTCAGATCTGCTTCATAAGGCTGACATGTGCCCTCCCATAATGAGCGGTATCAACACAGACTCTACTTAAGTAAACAGCAAAGCAAAGCCTCTATGCTGGACATAACCATTCACTAACCCAGACTCCATTTACTCTGAAACTTGACTTTTGAATCCCATGACTTTGATTTTAGACCCTCAATTATAACCTTCTGTTATACTCTGACTCTTGGATACTACTTTACACTTGGAAATTTTGGAACTCTATTAAAGCATGGCTTGCTTGATTTTTGAAACTTTCTTCTTGCTCGTGTCAGTGCATGTTTAGCCTAGGACAGAACAATTATCTTAAAAAATGAAAAAGACAACTGCCTACCTCAGAGGCTTCTGCATTAAAATGATCCAGTGCTTGTTTTCTCAGTTCTCCTTTTATTGACCCATCTAGTCTCTATGAGAGAGGGTGAGGAAAGAAAACAATTGTGTAAGTATGTAAACAGGCATGAATAATGAATAATTCAATAATGGAAATAAATGCAGTCACAGTCATGTAGCTAAAGAATAACATTCTTACTTGAAAGGGAAACTGACGATATTTCAAATATTCAGCTAAGATGTCCAGCATCCGCACCATCTGAGAGAATATAAGTACTCTACTGCCACGCTCTCGTAAGCGAATCAGCAGCTTGTCTAAAAGAATTAGCTTCCCGCTACTCCGGATTAAGTTCTTTAAATGAAAAATAAAGCATTACTCTTTCAAATAGTTTTCTGTTTTTGTTTTTTTAAAAAAAAAGTTTGATAGGAAGAAGATTACATTTATAAGACAATATTAATGCATTTCTATGAGAATTACTAGAAGCCCAATGTCTAAAAAAATAAAAAAGTGAAGTTAGAAAATTAATCTTGTCTTTATTAATCCTTATAAATGTACCATAAACTAAAATTGCATAAAGGTAAGACAATTATTAAAATTCTATTTAAAAACCACTCATTATACTACATAACAACCACTTTGGACTAGTATTGGTACTACCTAGCAATGATTTTTACACAACCTTATGAGACAACTCACTCATATTTTCCTGTTGCATACAAGATAGCCAAACAGAGAATTGCCTAAGAACCCCTAGTAAAATAGAATTCTCATGAGGAATTTTCCAGTTTGCATTTTAGTCCCTCAGTGTAAACAGGACCATCTCTAAATATCTCAAAGTCCTTAAAGACATAGACTGAAATAAAGAAGATACACTAGATACTAGATTCTGGTATCTATCTATCCTTATTATCAGTCTTGCAAATTAAGTTAGTCATCCATTTTAAGAGCAGTGCATCAATGTCATTCAAACATTTATCCTTGTGGAGACAATTTACAGATAGTCCTCTACTTATGACTCCAATTATGACTGGAATTTCTATTGTAAGTCATTGTGGTCATAAATCAAATCAGATCTGATTTTATGGCAAATTTTACAGTGTCATTAAGTGAATTGCTGCACTCATTAAGCAAATAATATGTTCATTAGGTGAATTCAGCTTTTCCAAAAGGCGTTTTTTGTTGGAAACTGACATAAAAGGTTGCAAATTGTGATAACCAACCAATCATGAACGTGAGCCAGTTGCCAAGTACCTGAATTATATCATATGACTATGGGGTGGTACAAGAGTCATAAATGTGAGTAAAGTCTTTAAATACTTTTCCTAAGGCCTTCATAACTTTGAACGGTCACTAAATGAATAGTTGTAAGTCAAGGACTACTAGTATCCTGTCGCCAATTCAATCTTACCTATAATTATTGTGAGAAAGTTGTTACAAAAGTTAGGCCTGAAATTCCTGGTTCTCTCTTTTTCAAACCTATTGCTTATTTGCTTGATTTCTAACAGTTACAGTAAAACAAATTTAAAATTTCAGTTGCTTAATATAATTATAAGTAATTAATAGTCAGTTTTCAGTTTTACAAAAAAATGTTGAGATAAATTTCTGTGATCAAAATGTAAGACTACAGTTGTTTGCAGGCAAATATTCTTAAAGCCAACCCCACAGAGAATGCATTATAGTAATTCAATTGGGAAATGCCCAGGAGATGAGTGACTGTGAGCAGAGCACTACCCAATCCAGGAATACGCATACTTGGTGCAAGATACAAAGCTGTACAAAGACCCTTTTAGCCACAACTGTCCCCTGCTTTTTGAGTCACAAAATACCCCCAGATTGCACGGCATATCTGTTTGGGCTCATAAAACTCCCTCCAGCACCAAAGACATGAAATTGTCAGTACCCAACTCCCAGAGCCATTCATTCTTGCCATTTCACTTAAGTGAAATGGATATCACCAATCCACTTATTTTCCTTTGCTTAGAACAGGGGTTCTCAACCTTGGCAACTTTAAGATCTGTGGACTTTAATTCCCAGAATTCCTCAGCCAGCAAAGCTGAAGTCCACACGTCTTAAAGTTGCCAAGGTTGAGAACCCCTGGCTTAGAACATATAATAACAGAATTGGAAGGGACCTTTCCCTACTGAATTCTAAGTAACTATATCCACAGTATTTCCCTGATCCATTAATTTAGTCACTTTGTCAAAGAATGCAACGAGGCTTGATTCTTGCATTTATTTTTCTGTTTTGTAAACTATATAACTGAAAGAAGATATATGTAATATAACTGTAAAACTATAAGAAAACAGCATCTTGAGTGACAAACCACTAAATCTCACTCAAAATAATGTGTGAATCTTGGAGTACATATAAAACAATTTAATGGATATTTACCTGTAAGGCCTCCTGTTTATTATAGAATTCATTATCATCTGGTGGCTTAATGAGGTAGCAATGATTACAACACTTTTTGAGTTCCATCATGATATTCAGAAAGCCTGAAGTGCTGCCTTTTGATCCCTTACTTAGGGCTTTGTAATTCCTTGTTAAAATCCACCTATGACATTAAAAATAGTGTTGATAACAATACTGTAGAAAACAAAACATAAAACGAGAGATAGCTGGCAATTTGCATATATTTTTGTATCATTCTAATAAACATAATACGTGACTTACTTGTAATACTGCTTTTGCAATGCACTCATTTCCATTCTTAAAATTTGTTCAACCTTGGCAGGTAGAGATTTTTCTACATCTTTCTTAACTCTCCTCAACAGAAATGGTTCAAGTTCTTTGTGAAGACTTGCATAACCAAATTCCCTTCCTTTCCCATGTTCTTCTTCAAAATCTTCCCAAGAAGAGAATCTTCAATAAAAAATTCCCCACATTGTTACTTTGCAATACAAAGAGATTAAATTAATTCAAATATTAGTTTCACTTTAGCATTACATGTTCAGGATACAAAAATAAATACGTAAGAATTACAGATGGTCCTTGTGTAATGATCACTCAACTGTGGCTGTGGGTTACCTCCACTATTACTAACAGTACATCTTTAAATAATTATAAGGAGGGGAACATGATATCGACACTGACATCTTGTTAGTGGGGTTTCTATAAGCATTTAGTTGATCATCAAAGACATAAGTAGCACCATTCATATACTCTTATCTTATAGTAAGCAAGAAAATGAGCACTGAGATTCCTTCTATTTATGTTAAGAAGAAACCCTAAATCAGTTCACCGATACTGGGTTTTAGAGTCTACAACATTTCTGATTTTTTTTCCTTTAAAGCCAGTGAAAATTAATTCTGAAGAAAAAATTATTCCATATAGCCATGTATGTAATAAGTGGCCTTCCTGAGAATTTGTAATTGACCTCCAGACAAGCCAGTTTAAATTTCTCAATGTAATAATAACTGATTTTCTTAAAAAGTTAAAGTCTAAATATAATAAAGTAGCAAAGTTATCAAGTTTTATCTGACTGGAAACAGCACCCAAAATACAGAATTGAAATAAGGTGGTTCAAAAAGGTAAGTTTTTACCCACCAAAACAAGATAAATATTAAACAAATTGCAACCTTACTATATGTTTGTCAATATGATTACCTACTTTTCTGGCATGATGAAATGAAGCAGGGACCACAGCTCTTTCAGGGAGTTTTGTAGAGGTGTTCCAGTGATAAGAAGGCGATGATTAGATTTGAAGTCTATTAATGTCTTATATAAGAGGGAGTCATCATTTTTTAATCGATGGGCTTCATCTACTCCTATAAAGGCCCAATTTAAGCCTCCAAGGAATGACTTTTCAGAAGGAAAAAAAACAAGTATGCTTTCTTTTAAAAGAAAATATATATATATTTAACATAGCAATTTAAAGCAAATTAGGGGCAGTAAAAATTACACAGGTAAATAAATAATAAGAAGGCAGAGAAACCATTTTATCCAAAGCCCTGGAAGGATGGTGTTGATTAATTTTCTTTTTTTTTCTGTTTTCCTTTCAACAGGATGGAAATTATTTCTACCAGCCTTGGAAAAGTCATACATTTTCCCATAAATTCTGATAGAAAGGAACATTATGGATCCCATAGGTGCATGTTTTCTTTCAATCTTGTTAAGAATGTCCCCTTTCAGTCTGCTGGAGGGGGAGGTAGTTATAAAAGGCATCCTGAAAGGTCTAGTCTTCCTTTTGATGATAGACCTCTTTCTTCATCTTTGACGAGGAATGTCCAAAATATCCAAGCCATACTTGGTAGTTATTGGTATTTATCATAACAATCAATCTAGTTTCTTATTTTTAACTGAAAAAAGTAACATGTTTTTAATATTCTGTTTTAATTTTTAGAAATTAATTATTAAATTAATCAATGTAACTACTAACCTTATCTTTCAGTAGAATTTCATAAGTTGTCAATAAGATATTAAACTTTAATCGTTTGGTCTGTGGATGCATCCATTCATGTGTTCTTATCTATAAACAAAATCAGTGAGATACTAGAACACAGTTTAAAAAAAAAATCTATGAAACAGCTAATATAAACAATCTGATTAATTTTAAACCCACCAATCTAAACACAAATTCCATATATAAACACATGATAATATATGGAGGAACAGGAAAGGAGCACAACATAGAAATGGGATTAATAAACAGCTCTGTTTAACTTCTTATGAGAAAGAAGGGTGGCAAAGATCCTTGACAACCCATTATCCATCTAGTGAAGAGACTGGAGTGCAATTCAATCAAAAGACCTTAAAAACAGCAGTTTCAGTTTTCTAAAGCTTTTTTCATTATCTTAAACAAATGATCAGGTTGATCTGAAATTAATAAATGCCAATGAAAATAAACCAAAACTGTATTTCTCTACCAACACCAGAGTAGAAAATAATAAAATATGTTGTGATTGTTTTTGAAAACCTGCCAGCTCTGACTTAACAATTCTGTATTCTCTGATTCTGTATTCACCAGTTTTCTTCAAGAGATGGCATACATAATATTTGAAAATAATATGCAATAGGATGACCAGGTGATAATTTGAGGATTCTTGCCTCTTTATGCAACATACTTCCAATTGGAGTAGTTGATTTCAGAGAAAAGACTATTAATTATTAATAGGTGTTGAGCTGGAACATTCTGAAGGCAGTATGTCTTCCCTAGAGCCTTTTTCATGAGGGGTGTTCTCACAATGTAACTGTTTAAATTATGATATTGAAATTATAGGCCACCTTTAGGTGATGTCATTTAGGAAGGGAATAATACTTGCCTAAATTACCCTGGAAATCATCACAGATTGCTGAAAAGTATCAAATCTGGGATTCTACCAAAATATTGGCATCAAAGATGATATTCTTGTACTACAAACCAGTTACCATCAATTTCCCAAACTTTCTGCCATGCACTGTAATAAATTTACTTTTCTTTTGGGAATTCCTTACATTAACATCAAAACTTACTAATGAACAAATTGATGCCTCTTTCATTCTCGAAAGGGGCTTGTTAATTCTTATAAACCTCATTGGAGAAAGCTAGACTTTTTAAATCTAATTCTTGTAATTTTGGTCTGTTGGAAGTTAGAGTAGGCGAGTCAGGTAAAGATCAATATTATTCTAGGAAAAAACTTGGCTAGATGATCTCATAAGATTCTTTGTTAAAGCATCTGCTAATAGTTTAACAAGGCAACAATTATTTTTAAATAATGTTTTGTTTAAGGTAGAACTACTCTTGAAATAGTCTCTGCGAGAATAAGGCTCTCTGGACTGTAATACAGTGGTGAGATTCAGCCGGTTTGCACCAATTTGGCAGAACTGGTAGCTAATTTTTTGTTGCCCAGGCCCAGAATGAACTTCCGGAAGTGCATCCACACAGAGAACCAGTTGTTCACATATTTGAATCCCACCACTGCATAAAACACAATATCATCCTGCTTCCCAATTGGGTAGAAAGAGTCTTCTTTGTTAGCAGACACTTTTTTTGGTTACAAACTTTTGTTTGTCATTTTAAGTAAGTAGTAAATATCCTCTGAATATTTTTAGTTTGGAAATTTATTTGAAATCTCAACAAAGAAAACAGATGAACTTCTGCCCTTTTCTGTGTTCACATAAAAGTTCACTTCAAATTACATAAAAAACTATGTAATTACATTTTTTAAAAACTCTTCATTTTGAAAAAGAAAGAATTCATCAGGTATACACATTTAATAGAATAGACATTTAATGACAGTAATTTTTTAAATTCAGCTTCCTGTACTTCCATCTTGAAATAGATACAGTATTTATTAATCTGAAATAGTTTGATTCCTGCCTTGCCTTTTGGCATGAGTATGTAGAATTTATTGCAGAGTAATTCTAGAAAGAATTCTAGAATTCTTTCCTAACACTCAGATCTAAATTATCTGGTGTAAATAAGAACAATGTTTGGATAGGGACTAACTTTCTACTGTAGAACTCTTATCACACTTTTTCTAGACAATTTTTCTAGCATTTAATGATCCAATGTTGACTCTTTTAGAATGCAAAACTGTATAATAACGTTATCAAATAAATATTACAATGGTTCTAAGGAGGTTTCCAAGACATTATCTGTAGTAAGAGACAATGTGCCCAGAGACATGATCTATTGACATCCTTTATAATTTCTTCCCTTTTTTGGTCTGACTATGCCATACACAGTAATTATTTTGTTAACAGTCACCCCATGCCTCTTTTGAAAGCCCCACAGTTTGTAATTTGTTCTCAAATTTACAAATGTTCCTGGTTGCTAAAAAAGCTGTGAATCAAGGGATTACCTTAAGCAAAAGAAAAAAGCTGAAAAAATATTACTCCTAGAAAAGCTAGCTCCTTAAATTATATCAAAGAAATATTTACATTTTTTCAGTAAAACATTAAACACTATGTTCATGGTCACTTTTAAAGGATATTAGCTGAAAAATAATAATGGGTAAAGTGGCTAATGAATTCTGTTAATGTATTGTTTGTGATAAAACATTTCATTAAGTATCAAATGAAGAAAACAAAAACCAGGCTATCCAACCACGGTATCAGTTTTGAATTCTATCTGTAGCCGAATAAAGAGATTTGATATATACAAATTTCACATATGAGATTTATTTCCTATTTTACAGTCTATTTTCTCTTGCTCAATCAAATATCAAACTATTAAATAATTTCACTATATTTTAATTAATGTCTATCTAGAAATGAATTACAAATAATAAAAATTAACATAAAAATTATTCAGTGTAGATGTAGATTAAAATTACATCTCTATAATAATAATACTTCCAGATCTGTGTTTCCCATTAACATACAATTCCACTTACCACATTTCTACTGGTAATATCTCCCAAATAAACTACAGCATTCATCTGGGGAGCCCATGTCTCGATTTCTCTTTGCCAAGATGTCAGGGTGGAAAGAGGTACTACCAGCAAGAAGGGTCCATACAACTGATGTTCATGAAATAAGTAATTCAAAAAGGAGATGGTTTGTATCGTTTTGCCCAAACCCATTTCATCAGCAAGAATACAGCTATTTCCCCTGTAAAGTGATACGAATAAAATAAGTTAAACATCACATACAGATTCATTAATTCCCATATATTAGAAATTAAATTATTATAATAGTATTACCTTCTAAATTTGATCAATATAGTCATTTAACTTTTCACATTTACTTATTTTACAATACTTATGCATATTTTAATCCACATGGAATCAAGGACAGAATAAAGCTCTGAAAAGATTTTTTTTTACATTTTTAATTGCATGAGCTTTGACAGATTATTAAAAAATGAAACAAGAATAAAGTTACAAAAAGCAAAGTAGAAGTTACAGAACTACCAATTTATCTTCTCTGCAAACCCCCCCCCCATCACCCCTTTTTGGTAGCCACATTCTCCTCTTCCCTTCCATTTACATTATGTGCACAATTGTTGGGCAAATGAGTATTTTGACCATATCATCATTTTCATGCACATTTTCCACTTCCAAGCTATATAAAGTTGAATGCTTAGTGGAGATAAGCATATCAGGTGATGTGTATATGTGTAATGAGGGTGTGGCCTAAAGAGATCCACCCTATATCAAGGTGTGCATAATTATTAGGCAATTACTTTTCCTCAGGCAAAATTAGCCCAAAAAAAGAAGATTTAATTGATTCTGAAAAATTGTAAAAAGTCTTTCAGAGGGATGCATCACTCTTGAAATTGCCAAGATATTGGGGTGTGATCATAGAACCATCAAATGTTTTGTTGCAAATAGTGGCAAGAAACGTGTTGAGAAAAAAAGACGCAAATTAACTGCCAAAGAAGAATCAAACGTGAAACTACCAGGAACCCATTATCCTCCAATGCTATCATATTTTAGAACTGCAGCCTACCTGGAGTATATATACTATATATTTATAGTATATACTGGAATATATTGTGTATTTATAGCATACTTTGAATTTTAATCATTGGAGGTTATTGCTAGTATCTGTCGTTATTTTTGATTAATCACAACTCTTTTCCTAAAAGCTATTATTCAAAACATCTGAATTTGCCTTTGCTATACAATGTGTCAGATACAGTGTCATTCATATCTATACACACACACACATATATATGAATTTAGTTAACCTTCTATTATGAATATACATTATCAACTATTTTTGTTTTCTCAATCTTGCATTATCAACACATTTCCCTTTTCCAATGTTATTGCTGATTTTTTGTTACAGTTGTTAACATACATTATACATACACACATACTTAATAAATTTTGATGCTTTTATGTTTTCTAGAATTATTCCTAATAAAAATTGTTGTTTTTTCAATGTTGTATTTCACATTTTCTAAATGTTTGATGTATTTCCTTCTAATACTTTTGAGTTTTTCTGTGGAAGCACCACATATGATATATTTTCCCTTTTGGTGTATTTATTGCTATATAACTGGCTGGCAAGATTTTGATCTTCATGGTTTAATAAGACAATAGTACTTTTTCCCCTCTTTGCTAAATTAGATTATTAAATATATTTTAAAATCCCAAGGAGCAGGGAAAGAATATATTTTATCTGATCCTAAAACTGTACCTTGGGTTAAACATGTACAGAATGCAAGATTCTTATTTCTAAATGTAGTAATGTCCCAATATGCTTCAATTTTGCAAAGTGCCAATGTTAAACCTGAAATATCTTTAGAATATAATTATTATTTTTGCACCTTCAAGTATGGATAGAACACATTTATGCAGATAAGAAAACCAGTTTAATATAGTGGTTAGGGCACCGGGCTAGAAACCATAAGACTATTAATTCTAGTCCTGCCTTAAGCACAAAACCAGCTGGGTGACTTTGGGCAAATCATTCTCTCAGTCTTAGGAAGAAGGCAATGACAAGAGTTCCAAAACTCTGCAGCAAGAAGTCCAGCCGGTTAAAGGCCAAAGCAAATAAATAAATTATTAGGTAAATGAAAATGTCATTGACTCTTATTTTCTCTGTTAGTAAAACTGAACAGAGCAAATATATATTTTAATATAGTGTTGTAAGATTTTAAATATGTACTTACTTGCACCATGAATGGGCTAACCAATTTAGTCCATTTAATTGATAATCTCTTAACTCTAAGTTTTCATGACCTCCAATGTAATTAGGTTGTTTCTTTAAAGCTACAAATCTTGGTCTTTGCTTCAAAACCTACCAAAGTAAAAAAGAAATATTATTTTAATTCCTTATTTCGCTCCCAACTGAAAACCTGAATTTTATACTATCTGACATTCAAAGACAACAGAGATAATATAAAAATTTCTAAATTCATATTAAATCATATTCAAAAAAATCCTTGGATGCAAAAAAGCATAATTAGTGTAGAAAAACACCCAACTATAAATCATTTTGAGTTTGCAACACCTATTCTCAGTATTCCAAACTCAAAACATCACATTCCTGTTTTGAACGCTATTGTTTCAAATGTTCAGCTGTTTGGGGCAATTGATAAAAATTTTGTCTTGTACCAGTACTTTGGTATGGGGTTGGCAGTTTCTGCTTTAATTTCTCCCTCTTTCCTTCCCGGGGACAGGACGCAACAAGTGCTTCTACTCATCTGTATTGTCTTTGGCATGTGTATTGTGTGTGTGAGAGAGAGAAGGGGGAGGCAACGTAATGTAATCTGGGGACCAGAGTATTAGAGAAAAATAAAAGACAGGTATTTAAACACATGGCACAATGAAAAACCATCTTAGATCTGATTACACTTTGCTGAGAAATTAGGACCAGGACTGCTACAAAGCACTTGAAACTAGATTATGATTCACAGCTGCTAATCATTTAAAATTATCTGGTCCTAAGGCAACCAACAGAACCAATTTAATTCAAGCATGCAGTTCTTCAGTTTTCTTTTTTAATTTTCAAACCAATGTAATGGGCACCTGTTAAAAGGTAGACAAATCTCATTCTCCTATTATTTTGCTTTTCAATTTAATCCCTTTAGGACATACTCCCTCAAGCTCCTTCCCCAGGAAGACCTACTTCTTGGCTTGGGGCAATTAAAAGAATGCACATATGATAGGTCACAGGGCTGCTGTTTATTGCTGCATATCTCACACATAATTCAGCCTTTTCTTTTAAATGCGGGGTTACTCTACTCCTCCACATTAATTTAGGTCTAATATAGTCAATCTACTCTATTTTCCCCAATACAAATTCCAATTTGAAAACAGCTATGAGTGGCAGAAATAATAAAACAGTTAAGAGGATGAAAAATAATGAGACAATGAATTAAATCAAGTTCTACTAAATACATGAGATGAAGAATGACTAATGCTAAAAAAAACCTTTTAAAAAACATGACACTATCTTGCGGCAGCAATATTGCAAACACATGATAGTGTTGAGAACTCCTGGCCTTAGCCAAAGATTCTTCTGCCTGTCAGAATAAAGCCCCTTTCCCTCTGTCAGAAATCCATTGGTTGAAGATAAAGATCACCAGGAAGATCAGTTTCTTGTTCCTGAATGCTAGGCCACAGCTAGGATTATACAACTGGTTTATCATTTGGGAATATCATAGGCAGGCTATAAGCCAGAGGTGTCAAACTGCCAGTCCGCAGACCGGATGTATCATGCGGAAGCGGCGCCCACCCTAGCTCCAGCAAAAGGAAAAAAGTCACGACACATCATGTGACGTGGCGAGTTTGACACCCCTGCTATAAGCCAAAAGATATTTTGTTATTGTCCACAAATTGCACTTGATTGTGCAGGAAGGCCTTAGTCTGAAAAGAACCAAGATCTTTTCACAAGACACTGAGATTGCCATCAACACCTTATAGATACCATAAATCAATTTTAAACCAACCTGTCCCGATTACTACAGCTTACACTTCAGAAATAATCCATCTAATTCAGGGGTGTCAAACGTGCAACGTCATGTGACATGTCACGACGTATTGCAACTTTTTTTGCCATTGCCAGCAATGGAGTGGGCGCGGTTTCGCCATGATGCATTTGGCCCAAGGCCGGCAGTTTGACATCCCTGATCTAATTGAATGCCATTTACAGTACTTGCTCTTCATATGTCTGCAAAAATAGCAGCTGACTGCATATGACACAACATGCCATGTGATTATATCTTGAGACCTTCTAAGAATGGAGACTCAATAGCTAAAGCAATTTAATACTAGTATATAATATTCCTGCCTTTTTCCCCTATTTATTTTCCTATTATCTGATTGCTTTGTTAAATAAATAAATTAGCCTACCTATTGATTGTTAGACCTATATTCCAAAGATACAAAGATAATGTTGATGAAACATGTCCTTTTTCAAGTTTTTTTCCACAGAATTTAAATGATTCCACTGTTACTTATGATTATATTTTTGTTTTCAAAAGTATTTTAAACAGCCTCCCTCTTGCTAGTTTTTGCGTTAAGTTGGTTAACCAAGAACAGTCATCATGGAATGCCAATCTTATGATCCATGATCAAAAACAAGGGTCCAAGGGCTTGTTCTAAGTTGCCATTGTTTACTGTGGATTGAATAGCTATCCCAATGGAATGCGACCAATTTGGAATACTCTCCAGAGGAAAGTTTTGTTTCATAGTTGAAATAAAATGCAGTTTCTGTATTGGCATATTCTTAGATGTTATGGATAAAGGCAACCTTGTCTGAATCACCACATATGATGTGATATGTTTGTTTATCCTGAGGATCACTCAACTCATATATCTATTTGATTTATACCTGCCTTTATTTATGGACTCCCATCTGCACAATGAAAACACCAGATATAGAATATTATTTTAAACACTGAATATGATACATTTACTTAAAGATATTTAAATTTTACCTACCTTACAATCTTTAAATGGAGTAGTCTTTGACTGATTTCTACTAAAATACTCATCAATGCGTGACTGGAACTTTTTTGCAATGAGAGCTCCATCTTCCCAGCTGCACTCTGAGTAAGGGAGACCTTGCCATTTACAATAATAATCTGGATAGCCTGCTGCTGACTTCTGATTAGAATGGGCTATAGAAAATAAGCATAAAAACAAAAAGCAACATTACCCCTGTTCACTTAAATAATGAACCATGAAGAAGAGGTTGTACACAAAACCTGATTCAAATACAATATACATTTATTCTGTCTTGAAATGGTGCTAGGTTTGAGTGGATGTAATTGTTTAACATGGAAAGTTTTGCAAAAAGAAAAAAAAAGAAAATGGAAATGGTGACAAAAAATGTTTTGAGAGAATGGTTAATTGGTTGGAGATCTGTGAATGGGAATTAAAAAATTGAAATAGCATCAGAGTAGGAATTGGACTGAATGAAAAAAACAAGAATGCAAGCTGAAGGGAAAACCAGAGGATAAGCCTGGGAAAGGCAGAGACAACTTCAGCAGAAAGTACATGGGAAAGGAGATTGTTGGATGATCTCACCCAATGGTTTCATGAGGATGCTAAATAAGTGGGGTGAGAGAGTTGAACCCTATAGTAGCTCACAAAAAAGGGGTCCACGAAGTGTCCTCTTCTCCCCCAAATCAGGACCAAAAGTGAAATGCATGTAGGAAAAGGTAAAGAACTGAATAGCTTGAATGAATTCAGAAGTAGGAAGAATTGGGTGGATGACAATTATGTCAGTTATAGAGGGCATACAATGCAAAATACTCTCCAAGAGGAGGAGGGTGACAAGAATGATGAATGCTTTCCACAAAGGGGGGCACTCTATTTAGAGAGGAGATGGAAAAGCCACAGGGAGAAAGGGTTGACCGAGGCCGGAAGGATATAAGTAAGTCAATTGGTCGACTCCATGAGTTATCAGAATGGAGAATGGAAGGGAGTGAAATGGAGTAGTGAGGAAAGGATAGTTATCAAAATAGTGACATGACAGGAGATGAGCTGCCCTATTTCAATGCCTCTTCTCTCCACTTCATCTTGGTTACCAAGTAGTGAGACACTGCTATACTATGGGTTCAAATTGCTGTTATTAAATGCCAAGTTTCTCTGATCTTGGATCAGCAGATAGATTTGGCAAGTATTACTGAGATACATACAGAAGAGAAAGGGAGTGAGTTTCTCTTGGAGATATGCCCATCTGGGTATCAATAATGCATTAGACGTAATCCATAGTAGGGGAGGAAGAGGATGAGGAGTTATTGTCTAGAAAGCTACATATGATCAGATATGTAATGTGAGGATGGAACTATTCAACCATTATCCCGAACAACTAATTTCATAGGGCACTTCTTGAAGATTTTCCCGAATCCCTGATGTGCATTCTGTAGGATACTTGGTCTGCCTATGGAATATTGGCAATTGACACGATTGCTCCTGAATGGCGTCCTCCTAGTCACCAATCCAGTAAATTTTTGATTTGGCAAAGGCGCTAAAGATGAATGCAACCAAATACGGGTTATCAAAATGGGTAAGAAATGTTTAAGCTTACGCTGTAGCAGAAAGAGAGGTGAAGATATTTCTCTACTATTACTGCATTTACTAATTCAGCAGCATTGTTTTCAGCAAAACCCAGGCTGTAAGCAATTTTTAACAGAGTCACTGTAATAACAATGGTTTTTAAGCCTAAACAAATAAATACAATGCATGTAAAAGTTTAGATAAATATTATGAATTTAAATATAGTTGAATCATGTATATTTCAAGTTTTAAGTTATATCACCTACCAATAATTCTCTCTACAATTTGATACTGCTTATGCAAGTCATCAGTAAGCTCTTGCTGACAGTTGTAATATTCTACATCTTCTGGAGAAGCATTTTTCAGCCTGGAAGGAAAATGTGTACAATGTTAATGACATCATTAAAAAAAACCATTGTTACTGATTTCAAGATATGAAAATACTTTAATAAGATGACAACCACCCCATATATGGCTTTTACAGAATTGTGACTTTCAGTGGTTGGGTCCTAAAGGGTAATATTAATAATGTGGCTTCTTGACTTCCCGCTGCTATCCTGCACAATCCCAAAATCTCTTCCTTAAATATTTAGACAAAGATTTGGGATAATATGAAAGATCTAATGCTTTATGTATTATCTTTCTGACAAGATACTAAAAATGATTTATAATTATACAGGAGATCTGTAAAACTCTCCTGCCTGAGTTTAAGAAGATCTTGAAAGATAGTTTGATTTCACAAACCCTCAAACCTAGTTTCACCTCCCAGCATCCATTTTCAGGAGAGGTTGATTTATTATTTCATTTTTTTTATTAGTTGATCTCTACTATTTTTTAAAAAAATATAACCCGCATTTGCTTTGGATTGGCTGTGAAAACTGTAATATGGAATGAAAATATTGATTTTTAATCAATTATATTATTAGATATAAATAATAAAATAAACAAATAAAAAGAATAACAAGAAAAAGAGAAGGCTAGCTAACAGTTACTTCAGGACCTCTTGACATGTACTTCATGGCCTAAGATCTAATCTTTTTATTATATCACATGAACCTTAGTCTCAGGAAAGTGAGGACATAGGAAGACCTTTCAGTTGATATCAGGTATTTAGATCCTACAGTGAGGGAAAAAGTATTTGATCCCCTGCTGATTTTGTACGTTTGCCCACTGACAAAGAAATGATCAGGCTATAATTTTAATAGGTTTATTTTAACAGTGAGAGAGAGAATAACAACAAAAAAATCCAGAAAAATGCATTTCAAAAAAGTTATAAATTGATTTGCACTTTAATCAGTGAAATAAGTATTTGATCCCCTATCAATCAGCAAGATTTCTGGCTCCCAGGTATCTGTTACACAGGTAATGAGCTGAGATTAGGAGCATTCTCTTAAAGGGAATACTCCTAATCTCAGCTTGATACCTGTATAAAAGACACCTGTCCACAGAAGCAATCAATCAATCAGATTCCAAACTCGCCACCATGGCCAAGACCAAAGAACTGTCCAAGGATGTCAGAGACTAGATTGTAGACCTACACAAGGCTGGAATGGGCTACAAGACTATCGCCAAGCAGCTTGGTGAGAAGGTGACAACAGTTGGTGTGATTATTTGCAAATGGAAGAAACACAAAATAACTGTCAATCTCCCTCGGTCTGGAGTTCCATGCAAGATCTCACCTAATGGAGTTTCAATGAGGAATCAGCTCAGAACTACATGGGAGGATCTTGTCAATGATCTCAAGGTAGTTGGGACCATAGTCACCAAGAAAACAATTGGTAACACACTACGCCGTGAAGGACTGAAATCCTGCAATGCCTGCAATGTACCCCTGCTCAAGAAAGCACATGTACAGGGCCTCCTGAGATGTGTGCAAATTTGGTGGCCAACGACAAGAAACGTCTGACCACTGTGATTGCCAACAAGGGTTTTGCCACCAAGTACTAAGTCATGTTTTATGAAAGGGCAAATACTTATTTCACTCATTAAAATGCAAATCAATTTATATCTTTTTTAAAATGTGTTTTTCTGGATTTTTTTTTTTTTTTGTTCTGATTCTGTCTCTCACTGTTAAAATAAACCTATCATTACAATTATAGACTGATCATTTCTTTGTCAGTGGGCAAACATACAAAATCAGCAGGGTATCAAATACTTTTTTCATTCACTGTAGCTAGGGGTATGAAAAAGACTGGAAGTAACAATGTACAAAACATTCCATACACAAATTATTCTATGCATTGACTAGTTACCCTATGCCTTGTTTGTAATGAGAATGAAACAGGATTGTATGACTCTAGATATGGACCAAAACACCCCAATATATCAAGTGGTATTTTTAAAGAAATTCCTTAGCTGTGGTAAGGAAAAGTGTGGAAATACCACAGCTAAGGAATTTCTTTAAAAATACCATGTATGGAGATTAGCAGTCATGGCTAAGAGAAAGAACAGGCTGCAAAGATTATATAACAGACAAGCCGACTAAATAGGCATGCTGAGAACCTGTTACTTATTGCTACCGTAGTCAGTTTCATAATTAAAAATATGCACACAGGCTAATACACTAGAATTGGTGGTTAAATTGGGGAAGGGGAAAAGAAAGAGGCAAAGTTCTGGGAAAATGGGTTGGTCAGACTTGTCAGATATGGATTGACAGTGGCTAAAAGGGGAGAGTGAGTGCTGGGAAGATAGTTGGGTTGGCACAAAGGCCACTTGGAAGAAGATGGGGCGACATGCACAAATCTTGACTTACTCGCCCTATAAAATAATTCCAGAATCCCTCTGGATTTTGTTTCACTTAAAACTTTTTGGTTTAGTTTAGTTGAGTGGTTATGGCACCAGGCTATAAACCAGGAACCTGTGAGTTCTAGTCCAGTCTCAGGAATGAAAGCTGGCTGGATCACTTTGGACCAGTCACTCTCTTAGCCCAACTCCTCTCACAGAGTTGTTGTTCTAGAGTAAATAGGAGAAGGAAGGAGTTTTCATCACCCTGAGTTATTTATAAAACTAATGAAGGTGGGATTAAAAAAAATCTAAAAACTCCTGAAACAACTAAAATGTCTGGGGGTTTTTTTCTGCTGAATTCAGGCTGACCCAACAATGCTTCAAACACAATTTCTGAAATCCATGATTTGCTTTCAGTATTTTTAAAAAGTCTATGGAGATTTTCAGTCATCCTTAAAGGTGCTTTTTCACAAGGCAACTGGACTTTTTTTGTTTTTAAAAAAGATTTTCTATTTCATGTACACACATAGTTGGAATCTTAGTCACATTTTAATGACTATACAGAACTAAGTTATATTGAATATCCTTTTTTCATACAGTTAAAAACAAGACACCATCTTGCTATAGACTGAAGTCATCTCATTTTTATAAAATGAATCTTTTCACCAACATATTATAACTTAGCCAACCAAGTTTAGTAAATAGTACTGAAATAGTAACATTTACTATTGCTAAAAAATCAACAATGTATTTTCTAATAATATTGCATAGCTAATATTTCAGTTGCATATTTCTGAGTATAAAATTTTCAATATTAATTTTTACACATTTTGTGCAACATGAATCAATGTAAAGAATTATTCTCTTATTATTTCCTAATGCAGACTATGGCAGGAGATATACTGTGCAACCCTATATGTTCGTAACTTCAACAGAATTATCTTAATAGATTCTACTTTAAATCGCATTGATTTAGACAAAACTTAGATAGCTTTTTAGAATAATAACATCTTCCTAAGTATTTAGCAAAGATGATGGATATTTATTTTCATCTAATATTTTTTAAAATATGGTAAAGCTCTATCCCTCTATAGTTTAATTTTATGTGGATTTACAGGGATTCCTTGACTTACAACCATTTATTTAGCAACTGTTCGAAGTTACAATGGCACTGACAAAATGACTGTCCTCGTGCTTATGATCTGGTCCTCATGCTTATGATCCTTATAATCACATGATAAAAAATTGGCAATCAGCATGCATTTATGACCGTTGCAGTGTCCATGGCCATATAATCACTGTTTACACTGTCCTAGTCAGCTACCAAAACACAAAATCAGTGGGGAAACTATTGATTCACTTAATGACTGTGTAATTCACTTGACAACACTGACAAAAAAAGTCATAAATTCAGGTGCAACTCATTTAACAACTGCCTTGCTTAGCAACAAAAATCTGGTTTCAACTGGGTTTGTAAGTCAAGGACTACTTGTATTATTAAAATTTTACATTCAAATAAAATCTATTCATTCTTCTGCTAAACCAATGAAGATACCCTGAATTTGGTGATCAAGAGTACTGACATATCTTGAATTTGAAAATGTAAATTATTTAATTACATTTGCCTTATATAACATGCAAATATTATGTTAAAAATATGTTATGATAATTTGAAAACACTCACCAACGCTTAGTTTCCTGATCCTTTTTCTTATAGTTGTCCAGTTTCTTCATTCCTCTAACATTCTGCTGCTTTAGAGTTTCTTCAGTTTCCCAGGTATTATGAATATGGGACCAACCTTTCCATTTAATCAAATACTGCATATCACCAGATTCTTTTGATTTATCATGTCCTGCATTTGGATCTCCATCAGCTTCAACTGCATAGATAGTGGTTGTAGCACCAGTTGCTGAGAAAAATAGCCATAGTTTTAAAAAAAACTGTACAATTATTAGATAGAATTTAAAATATCAGATGGATTTAATGTAATAATATGATGCAGTGTCAAATTAAAAGTTTCACAAAAATATTATTCTACCAAAGAACTGACTAATGTAATTTCAATCAATCTAAAACAAACTATAGTGATTACTATAAAAAACCAAGTTAGATTCAGGAACTTGGACTAGATATGCTGATTAGCTGAAGTTTCCTCTTCATAATGGGCAATCATTAGCATACAGGTAAAACTCGCTTACTGTCTTGTTCAGCAACTGTTCAAAGTTATACTATTGCTTTCTTCCTGTGACGGCGGTGCCCATGACGGCTGTTTTCAGCCGTCCGCCCTGGAATGTGTCAAAGCCAGCTGAGACAGCAAGCAACAGCCGTCTCGCGGCTTGGAATCTCTCTCCCTGGGCGAAGGGGAGGAGATGAGTTTCCCTCGGATAGTGGCAGGGCTCCCTGAGAGACCCCAAAGTTTTTTTTCTTTGGTGGTCGGAGGGTGAGAGCTCCCACGGAGTCTGAGGTGTTCTCCACATTCCAGGATGCCTTTGCTCTAATTTTTTTTTGGGGGGGGGGGCAAAGCTAGACGCTGCTTACACATCTCCTTTCAAAATGAACTTGTGAGTAAAATTTAAAGCAGACAGAGCTGACCAGGGAGATTATATCTGTGATTATTTTGAGACTTTAACTCTGGAAAAGATTTCATCTTCTCTCTTTTCTTATTGAGAGGGGTGAAAAATGGCGCTGAGATGTTGTTTTTAAGAGTGAAAGGACCGGAACTTTAATTTGAAACAATGTAACAGCTTTCTTTTTTTTTCTTTTTCTTTTATTTACACAGGGGGCTTTTGTCTTTTTTCCCCTCCTTTTGTCTTCTTTTTTCTCTCTCTCTCTTTGTTAAAGGTTTTATAAGATTTTAAGAGTTTTTTTTTTTTTTTTTTAAGATGGCTTCGAAGTATTTTGGAGCTTTTGTTTCTAAAGTCTCAATCTCCTCTTCGGTAATGCAGACAGTTCAGCAAGTTGAGTCTAAATTTCCACCTCTTTTCTCAGCTTTACCAGCAGTTTTACCTAAAGACTTACAGGACGCTTTGGAAGATAGTGTACGACGGATTGAAAAAGAGATAAGTGAAATTATTGAAAATAAATTTAGGAAATTGAGAGAAGATATAGCGTCTGTGCTTCAGAAGTTTGCTGATCACATAGATCGTTTGGATCAGCGTATTGATGTTGCTGTAGAAAATTCTGAAAAATTGGAAGATAAAATAGAAAATAAGGTGGAAATAATTCAGGATGAAATTACTATGTTACAATACAGAAGTATGGAATTTGCTTTAAGAATAAGGGGAATGCAGGAAAATAATCAAGAAGATTTGAGACAAGTGGTTGCAAAGGATATAGCTCTTATTTTGGAATCCGAGCCTGAAGAAATATTGAGAGAGATAGAAAAAGTTTTTAGGGTTAACTCAAGGGTTGCAAGACAGAGGAATCTGCCACGAGATGTGGTTATTTATTTTTTTAGTAGATCACTTCGTAATAAAATTTTACAAGCCTTTTACAAGCAGAGATTTCAAACTGCAGCCCAGGATGTTATACTTCTGAAAGAACTACCTTCAAGAATTCTCAAAGTAAGAAAGCATTTTGCTTTTTTGGCTGATGAGCTTAAGAGGCGACAGATTCATTTCAGATGGGAGATACCGGCTGGAATAGTGGTGAATTATGCGGGGACACGCTACAGACTTGATACAATTTTAAAAGCGAAAGATTTTTATACTTCTGTTTTGAAGACGGGCTCTTTATTACCTACAGCTGAGATATTAGAAGAAAAGTTGGAAGAGCAACTGATAGAAGATATGCAGGTTAAACCTTTGCAACAATCTCTCTTGACAGAAGATTCATTAATGAAATTGAGTACTTGTGGAGCTTTTAGAAGTAAAATAAAGGTGGAAGAAAAGCTGGAAGAGCAGCTGACTGAAGAAAATATGCAGGTTGAACCTTTGCAGCAGTCCTCTTCAACAGAAGATTTATCAAAGAAATTGGGCATGACTCGTGCAGTTTTTAGAAGTAAAATAATGGAACAGCAGAAGGTTCTTCGTCATCTTCTAAGCAATAGATAATAGAAGGAGAAGTTGGAATATCAGCCGGCTAGTTATAAGGAGTTTTGTTAAATCTTTGTTATTTAGGGGAAAGTTTAAATTTATGATCTTTGCCTGGGAGAAGATTTGATAGGCTTTAATCTAGGGATTTAATATCTGAGAGTATTTACTATAACTTTTAATAAATGTATAAAGTTAAATTTTTGTTTTTAGGGGAAAGTTTAAAAGCTTAAAATTATGATTTCTGCTCGAGAGAATAGTTGATAGGTTTTAATTTGGTGATTTAATATTTGAGACTACTTATGATATATTATGATATATTAAAAGTGGATAAGAATGTTGTAAGGTTTTGATTTGGGAGAAAAGGTTATCACAAAATTTATTTGGGTTTGGGGGGGAAAGAGTTAAGAGCTAAGTTTATATTGTTCAAAAGAAATACACATCTCGGTGTGGAGAAGGTGGATAAATTATAAGAATAAATGTGGGATTTAATGGGTAAATTACGATTAGAGTAGATATGATTAAAAGTATTGTTTGGATTATGAATAATTTTCATTTTACTTATTGTGATTTAGTTTGTATTAGTTAAAGTTAAAATAAATATGGGATTTAATGGGTAAACTTTGATTAGAGTAGAGATGATTAAAAGTATTGTTTTGATTATGAACAATTTTTGTTTTAAATTTGGCATTATTTGATTTCGATAATTGATTTTCTTTAACTTGTTTAAATTTGTTTTGTATTTGAGTTAAAGTAACTTATTGATTTTGTTATTTGTATAGTTGGATATGTTTAGTTAGATTTAGTTTGCATTAGTTAAAGTTAAGTAGATTTTGTTTAATATGCTTGAAAAAAATAGGTAAACTTTGATTAGAGTAGATATGATTAAAAGTATTGTCTTGATTATGAACAATTTTTGTTTTAAATTTGGCATTATTTGATTTTGATAGTCGATTTTCTTTAATTTGTTTAAATTTGTTTTATATTTGAATTAAAGTAACTTATTGATTTTGTTATTTGTATAGTTGGATAGGTTCAGTTAGATTTAGTTTGCATTAGTTAAAGTTAAGTAGATTTTGTTTAATATGTTTGAAAACCCTGTGCCAAGCTCTGGGAAGTGGGGGGGAGGGGAGGTTGGGGTGGGTGGGTTTTGGGGACTGGGAGGGAGGGGGTCGGGGTGGGGGGATAGGTAGGTTAGATGATAGGATCAAAGTAAGATAATAAGGGATAACTTATGAGAGAGATGTTGCTTGGGCATTTCCCCGGTACTGTATCCGAAGAGGGATGAGAGAGGAGGAGAAAGGTTAGGGAGGAAGTAGGATGGTGAGAGGAGAGGGGGAGGGGAGAGAGAGAGGAGGAGAAAGGTTTGGGAGGAAGTAGGATGGTGAGAGGAGAGGGGGAAGGGAGAGAGAGGTGAGGGGAGGGAGAAGGAGGAGGGAAGTAAGGGAGAGTATAAGAGAGGGCGGATGCAGTTTCGGGGGGGGCGGGCAAGTGACATCTAGGTGTATTCATTCTATCTTGTCAAATGTGAAATTTCTTCTTTTTTGTTTATGTAATTGATAATTGAAAAATAAAAATTTTGGGGGAAAAAAAAGTTATACTATTGATGAAAAAATAATTTTATGACCAATGCTCAGGTTTACACCCTCTGCAATGTCAGAGTCACATGATTACCATTTACAGTTAATACACAATATCTGTGCCTGCCTATTATTTTTCTCCACCTCTTGCAGAATTGAAAAATTGCAGAGTAAATGGTAACAAGAAAGTTAACAGGCATACAACAAAAAATACACACTGAAAGGCAGCAGCGATGAGGCTCGGGCTGAGAGCTGGAAGCACACTGTTCAAACTGCCCATTGTATTCCCCATTGCATGCTTGCTTACTTGCTTGTGATCCCTTCTCAAATCTCTCCATTCTGCAAGGAGGGGGAGGGGGAAGAAAAAAGCAGGTCAGCCACACAGGAGAGATTTTTTATAAATTATTTGATTTTTTTTCCTTTTTTCCTTCCTTGCAGAGGAGAAAATGCTTAAACAAGGGGGGAGGAGACAAGTAATAATATCTCCTCTGTACCTGACTTGTTTTTTTTCTTCCTCTCCCCCAATACAAATGGAAAGAGTAGAGAGGAAGAGATCACAAATGAGTAAGTAGATACAATGAGGAATACACTAGTCTGTATGCATAGCTGTTGTGTGTGCCTTCTTACTCTCTGGTAACCCCTTTCTCTCCAATAAATGTAAAAGGAAAAAAATCCATTCTTGCTGACCATTCCAAAGGGTGGGAGAGTGGAGAGAAAAGGAAAGCAGTTACCGTCATGAGATTCCCCACTTAGCAACTGCTTCACTTAACAACAGAGCTGCTGCTTTCAATGGTGATAGGTAAATAAGGACTATCTGCAATTAGAGGTACATTGTGCTCCTAATGGTTAACTGCTATCTGCTGTATCTCTGTTATCTCTCGGAAGATCTCAATGGAGATTCTCACCTTCTCATGCTTGGCATTTAACAGGGAGCAGCTTAGTTGTGTTTTAGATGCCCCACTCCAAGACTGCTTACTTTAACCAAGTTTTCCTTGGAAAGATAGATAGACTGACAGACACACCCGTAGGTACAAATGCTTTAGTTGTTTAATGTTATCCTAATCACTAGTAATTGATTATTCAATCCACATATTCAATAGTACCGTTCCTCAACAGAAGAGTACAGTTAGTCTTTGACTTACAATACAATTGAACCCAAAATTTTCATTGCTAAGCAAGACAGTTAAGTGAGTTTTGCCCGATTTTATGCCCTTTCTTGCCACAGTTGTTATGTGAGTCACTGCAGTTGTTAGTTAGTAACCCAATTGTTAAGTGAATCCAGCTTCCCCATTGACTTTGCTTGTCAGAAAGTTGCAAAAGGTGATCACATGACCCCCGGGATACTGTAACTGTCATAAATACATGCCAGTTGCCAAGTGTCCAAGTTTTGATCATATGACCATGGGGATGCTGCAATGATCCTAAGTGTGAAAAACAATAATAAGTCTCTTTTTTTCAGTGCCATTGTAACTTTGAAGGTCACTAAATGAACAGTTGAAAGTTGACGACTACCTCTATACCATGTAATATACAAATAATGTCTAAGTGTGCTAAAGAAAATAAGTCCTTTTTATCAATAAAATTAGTAAACCATGAAACCTTTTAAATTAACATGTTTTTTCAGTTATTTTACATAGAAAATATGTATTTAATGTTATTTTAAGATACCTCAAGCCATATGGCCCCGAGATACCCTATAGCCATTCAATGTACACTGCAATAAAATCAAAACAAAACTATAACAATTATTTTATTAGTGTAAATTAAAGATTACCTCCTTTTCGTCCAACGCGACTATCCATAAATTTTTCAATTGTTTCAAATTCATCTTCTTCAGGCTGTGGAACATCTTCTCCACAGACTTCCAGGAGATCATCTGAATCTGTCTTTGCTTCTTCAGCTTCTTTATAACTAACATTTACTGTTGCCTGGCGGCGAGAACCTCTTTTATCATAATCATCATCATCTGATGGTGATGATGATGACGAGTCAAGTTGTCTTTTTTTCTGCACTGCAGTTTTCTTTCCACTTTTTTGTTTTATTCTTAAATAATAAAGAATAAAAGAAAAATAGTCTTTCAAATATTCTCTAGTCAATGCCTGGAAAAAATGACTGATGAGTATTCTTAGAAAACTGTGGGCTGTACAAATACTGAGATTTTTTATACATTTCTTGAATAAAAACTTGAAAACTGTAAAGTATTAAAACCAAGCAACTTCATTGCTCTAGCTTCTGCTCACAATTTTTTTTCTTCCTGTACAATAATTTCAGCCCATTCATTTTCACACAAACAGGACATAGTACACTATTGAAATAAATAAGAAATGTAGTTTGAATGCTGAATAATGGATAACCTACCTATCAAAGTGATCCAAACACTGGATTTCTCTATAGCATTTATTATGAAAAAAGCAGCTAGAAACTCAACTATGATGTTCCATGTGCTCCCTTGGAATGTTAGATTAATATATCAACTATAATTTGGAACCAAACATGTTATCCTGACTTAAAAAATACACTGTAATGTAAAAAAGCAAATTAAATTAAGAAAATGTCATATTTGGCTGGCTACTCAGTAGTAGCATCTAGAAAATTATCAGAATTGCATGCCCAAAAGTTCAGTAAGCGAAAGCCTAAATCCATAGTGCTACTACTGTGTTTCCCTGAAAGTAAGGCCTACCCCAAAAATAAGCCATAGCTTGATTTTTGGGGGTGGGACTAATATAGTTTTGGGGCAAGGCAGACACTTAAAAATCAAACTAGGGTAGTGGTAGGGTTGTGGATCTGCCCCATGCGCCACGCACCCACTTACCTTGCAGTCAGGCCTCTCCTCGCCAGCCCACTTCTTCTGTGACATCTTCTGCAGCCAGGCCTGCATTTCTCAGTCACAGGCCTTTCCAAAAAGCCTGTGCAGTCAAGAACCAAGCTATGGTTTCAGTCCATAACTCGATTCTGCAAGACCTCTGCAGCCGAAGACTGAGCTATGGATTGAATCCAAAGCTCGGTACTTGGCTGCATTCGCCTTCCGGAAAGGCCTGACTGCAAAATACAGGTCAGAATGCAGCTGCAGAATGAAGCTGCTCCTTCAGCCCCAGAAACAGTGGACTGGCTGGGCGGGGCTGTCTGTGCCAGAGGTGAGTAAGACATCCTCTGGAAATAAGACTTGGTGCCTCTTTTGGAGGCAAAAAAAAAAAAAAAGACTCGGTCTTCTTTTCGGGAAAACACAGTAGATTGTGAAAATTAAGGGAACAGTTTGCTAAGAAATAGATTTGTGCCTCCTTTTATGACAAATGAATGAGGCTGAAGTAATAGCTCGTTGTCTTATAGTTTAGCAATGAGCACAAAAAGTAATTCCCTCTAACGCAGATTAAACTATCCATAAAATCTCTGAGATATCCATTTGATGCAACCAGTTGGCAATTTGACTAATGCAGTTGACATCAAACTCAATGGAGACTTGTGGCAACATGCACTCATTTCTATTGGAGCCCATGTTCTGTTCAAGATGTTATCAATCCAAGATTGTACTTTGGTTGTTCTAAAAACTGAGATTTTCATTTGATATTAGAGCTTTGCTCATCTAGGCCATCAATTAAATGTTTCTTTTCAAAATCCAGCTTCCTAGCATATAGAGAGATAATTTACTGAGTGAACATTTAGCCCAAAGGATTCTTCAATATTAACTTTTACTTTCTAAAGTGGTATTACCTACCTACTTGGAGGCTTCCTGCTTTTGACTTTATTTTTTGGTTCATAATCAGATTCACTCTCTTCACAACTACTTTTATCTCTGCTTTCTTCCATATCAGAATCTGAAGCTGTTCCCGAAACAGATCCTGATCCAGACATTTGCCAATCTTCACTATTCAGGTTAAAATTACAGAAAAAATATTTAACTATATATTCTCAATCTGTTCTAAAAGTAACAACCAAAACATTTTAGTATTTAGTTTCACAAAAAGAATATTACTATCCACCATATTTTGGAGCAATATTGAACTAGTAGAAAAGTTATTATAAAAGGTTTATAGGAAAAGTATGCAAAACATTTTAAATATAAATATATTATTTTTGAATTAAGTAAACTGAAATGAACAATTAAATGTTTTTGTGGGTATTTCAGCTTCATATAACTTTTCAAATTTTCACATGACAATACTTAATCATGAATAATTTAAATCATTAACATAAAGCATTTACTAATTCCTTACAATGATAACTGCCACATTAACAATATTAAGTATAGGGGAAATGGCATTTACATAATACATACCACAGAGGGGTTGTTAATTTACATTTCTGTAGATGTGGGAAAAGAAAACCCCCCAAAAAAATAAAAATGAAAAAAGTTTCTTTGTCCTACTTTAAAGATAATAAATACAGTAGATTTTTTAAAAATAAAACCAAAAGACAGGTTGCTTAACAAAATAGCTGTATTCATCTATAACTCTTATTCATAGTAATGAATTCTTTAAAGAGCCAAGCTTATACATTAACTACAATAAATATTTTTCTATCTACAGCAAGCATCACTAGTAACAGCATTTGTCCTGAATTTGAATCTGAGGCAGTGAATTCATTCCTGCATTTATGTTTTCTACTATTACTTTGAAATAAATCAGTTTTGATATAATTTCAAATGTATTTCTTATACTAAAGGACCTGCAAACTAAAGCCCTTTACACCAGTCTCCTATTATGTTCTCAAGTTGAGAGAGATAGAGCTCCTCCATATTGGATTATGCATCAAATATTTCTTAACACCTCTTAAATATGGCGGTAAGAAAAATCTACACTTCCTAGATTTAAAATCAAGAGGTGGGAAGGACTGTACTGCTCTTTAACTTGCTGAAAAGGAACATAAACTAGTCGGTCACACTTGTGTTCTGCTGTAGTTGCCTGAAATTCTCTCATTAGAGGATTTATAGTCCATATAAATCCTGATGTGATTATAGAAAATATACCAATGAAGAAGTATAAGAATATTATTCCTTGGATAATAAACAAAATATCTCTGAAAATAAACTTGTGTTAGTAGGCATGGAGTAAATGAAATAAGTTTAATGAAGCAAAATTTTTATTTCCTACTCTTTATGTTTCTTCCTCTTGATTTCATTGGATGAGTCATCTCCAGAATCCTCACTACTTGATGATTCCTAAACAGTAAAAATATGTATGAACTTTATTATCACCTTATTAATTTAATAATAATAATAATTCATTAAATGTATATTCTGCCTGACAAATTTATATATAGTTATTCCAACTACCCAAGGAACTGTAGGCTGCAAACAGAAATAAAGAAAACTAACTATAAAGCTCCATTAAAAGGCAACTGTATCAAAGCCCCTAAAAAATTGTGCTGTCAATCAGTTTAACTTTTATACAATGATTAAAGCATATTCATTAGAATCATGAAAAAATAGATTTGCTAAGCAATTGTAAAGATGCAATGCCATTCTAAATTAAGGAAACAATTATTATCTAAAGAGCTTCTAGTCATAAATCTCAAATGTAACTTTTCTTTAATGAGAAATATTCCATTTTTTCTTTAATTATTGGATTATTTAAAAAAATGAAATTCAATCATGATTATTTACCTCTTCTGATCCACTATTTATGGATGCTGCTTTTGACTGCTGTTGCTGTTTCCTGAGCATTGCAGACCTCTGTACAGCAAGAATGCTTGGATTTGATTTCCAAAACTAAAGTGGGATACATGTAAAAACATTACAGAATGATAAGATAATGGCAGCAGTTGCTAATATTATTTCTTAATGAATTCTCTGGTTAGATAGAAGCCAGATTATTTCTTACTTTACTAAAGAGCATTAGGCAATGAAGTAAATCAGCAAATAGCTAAAATGTAGGTAGCAGTATCATTCCTGCAGTGAAAATAACCTAACAGAAATAATAAAGGAAAAACATGCCTACCATGTGGAGGGCCCATTTCTCCCCCATCTTCAATAAACAGTGCTTTCTGGCTAGTGAGTGGGCTGCTTTGGGGCTTTGGGTACTGTTCAATATCTTCATCAATGATTTAGATGAGGGAATTGAAGGGGAACTAATCAAATTTGCAGATGACACCAAACTGGCAGGAGTAGCCAGCACCCCAGAAAACAAACTCGGGATCCAAAAAGATCTCGACAAACTTGAACAATGGTCCCTATCCAACAAAACAAGTTTCAATGTGGAGAAAAGCAAAGTTTTACATTTAGGCAGGAAAAATCAAAGGTACAAGTACCGATTGGGTCAGACCTGGCTTAAAAACAGTAACTGTGAGAGGGACCTTCGAGTCCTAGAGGGCGATCACTTGAATATGAGCCAGCAGTGTGCAGCAGCAGCCAAAAAAGCTAATATAATCCTGGGTTGTATAAACAGAGGCACAGAATCAAGATCACACAAAGTACTAGTACCGCTTTATAAAGCCCTAGTAAGTTGGTTAGAAAAAATATTAGGAGAACATGTTGACTTTAAACCTGAACTTTTCTTATTAGGTATAATGCCAGAAAAAATTAACAAACAAAGCCTAAATTTGATTTTACACGTCACTACAGAAGCAAGAATAATCTTTGCGCAATATTAGAAAAATGAAGGACTACCACCAGAGGAAGAAATAATCAGAAAAATACTGGAATGCGCAGAGATGGACAGATTAATTATGAGATTGAAAGACAAAGAAGAAACAGAATATTATCAAACTTGGGATCTATTTTATCAATGGCTAGAAGAAAGAACGAAGGATTAGGAATTGAATACGTATTAGCATTGTTATACTCAGACAACACTTTGGTTGAAAAATTAATATATGTATGTAAGAGAAAATTAATAAAATATTTATTAAAAAAATAAATAAATAAAACCCTAGTAAGACCACACTTGGAATACTGCAGCCAATTTTGGTCACCATATCACAAAAAAGATATTCAGAGTTTGGGGAAAAAATCAGAGAAGAGCAACTAAAATGATCAAAACATCTTGATTTGAGATTTGAGGTTTGAGACTGCAAGGAAGGGAACAAGTTAACCCTAGTTCATTCAAGTTCAGCCCTAGTTAAAATACAACCTTGGGATCTGGATCTGATGATTCTTCATCTTTAATACTAAATAGATAACATTCCCCCAGAAGTGGTGTGCAAGCTGGGGATCCTTCTGGACACCCAGCTCTTCCTGGAAAGATTCTATATAGATTTGTTTTGTGCATCTATTGCACCCTTTGCTCTGCTCACTGTCAATCACACCTTAATGACTTCATGGTTACATTACTGAAATGCATTTTACCATAAGGTTTTTTCTTGAAGAAGCTTCAGAAACTTCAACTAGTACACAATGCAGTAACTCATGCATACTTGGAAGCTGCAAAGTTTGCCAGAAAAAGCACCAAGGGGTAATCTATATTAGCTTCCAGTATGCTTCTGGGTACAATTCAATTTGCTGGTTATTATCTTTAAAGGCCTATCTGGCATACCCAAGTTATTTGTGGGACTATCCATTTCTGAGAGTTTATGCCCATTTCACTAGATGCTACAGAGTTAGGACATTCCAGGTTTTTGTCCTCTTATACTGTATTATTTTAATTGATTCTGGGTTATTATATTGTTTTTATATATATTGTTTACCCTTAGAATTATGTACTTAAAATGAGCAGCTATAAATAAATACATGTTGTGCAATGCTTTTATCAATTACTTTTTCCAGCATTGCAGTGTATTTTAAAACAAAATAACTATTACATTTCCAATTGTGTTTCATATGCTCAGTTAATACAGTATCAATTTAAAATAGTGTCAATTATAAATAATTCATTCATTTTACCTCAGCTCCATCAACCTTTGGATGTTTAGCTTGAACTTTCTTTTCCTTGGATGTGTCAGACTCTGATTCTGATTGACTGCCAGACTCTGAACCAGAATCTGAATCACTGCTTCCTGATCGGCTACTACTTCCATTGCTGCTGCTTCCAGAACTTGAACCAGATCCAGATCCAGATGCTGATCCAGAATCATCATCTGATTGGCTGCAATTATAAATAAGAATTAAGAAAGCTAGGAAAAGGCAATAAACAAATGTTTATTTGTAATTTTAAAGCTCCTCTAATAGAGTTAAAATAGTATATATAGATATTCAGCGAATTACATCTTAGACTGGGACTTCCATGAAATCTATGTCAATCTATTAAAACATTTCACTCAATTCAAATAGTAAATTAGAAGCTTGAATAGTTGTTCTTAGAAAATGGAGAAGACACAGCACTGAATGATTTCAGGCATCATGTTGCTAAGCAACTGAGCACTTCATTCTGAACTTAGTAATATTAATAGCAGCAAAGGGAACACTGGCTTAATTTTTCCTCCCATAATTTGGTTACCATGCTAGTCATGAAAGAATTCTCTTCCTCCACAATTAACATGGAAGCACAGTGATCCTCTGTCAGCCTTCATCTGAAGCTTGTTTTTACAGTAATCATTTGGAGGTTAAAATATTTTTGCAAGGCAGTAATTTGGGAAACCTTATTTATAGGCTGCTTTATATTTCAGTTTCTTATATGCAGCTTTGTTAACACAAACATAAATAAAAGCAATTGACTAGCTATACTGATTTGTGCCACATTTGATAAAATCTGTCCCAAGAAATTTTCACAATACAGCAACTGAAATATTATTTTCCAAATAGGCACTCCCTATCATGTTTCTAATATAAAGCACAGACATATTCATAATGTTCAACAGAATGTATGTTTATATAAAAGCAAGATTTGTCTATCCATCCATCCATGAAAAAATAATAAAGCAGAAATAAGCAACATGATATTCAACAGCAGCCCACTATGTGCCTAAGCACTTATCTTGAAGATAATCATGCTCCTTATCTTACTGAATTTATAAAAAATGATTATTTTCAAACACTAAAGATGTTAGAATGCTATAAAATAAAGTATTAGTATCTAATTTCAATATTCATTTGTAGAAATGTGTTTGGCTTCCACACCTTCATGCTGTATAATAGAAGAACCCAAAGAGTCAGAATAGAAGAGAAAGAACTAGATAAAATCGCAAAATACAAAAGAGTTGCAAATAGAAATAGAACTATTGGGGCAAAGAAAGCAAAGATAGTACCAATAGTAATAGCTGCCTTGGGTGCAATTCCAAAAAAAAAAAAACAAAACAAAACAAAAAAAAAAAAACAAAAACTGAAGCTCCACTTGAACACCATCATCACTGACAAAATCACAATCAATCAACTGCAAAAGATAGCTTTTCTTGGAACAGCTTACATCCTGTGATATCTTTAACACCATCAAACAGCATTTGCCTATGCCAGGACTTTGTGAAAGCCTGGGCAGAGAGATATATCTTCAAGGATCTCCAAAATATCAACAATTTTAAACTTTTTTAGAATTCTGTTTTTATGAGTGCCAGTTGCCATGGTAAATACAGTGATTTGAAAACCACATTTAAAATATCTAGAGTAGAAGTATACAATGTGAGGCTTATGGAAACTTGCAGTCTCCAAAAGCCTAAAATCCAGCTCCAGCTCAAACATTATTACAATACTTAGAGTTATTGAAAGAAGAATTAAATACACAACCAAAAAATAATCACAACAGGCACATTTAATTATATGTAATTGCAAATTATAGTATATTTATTTCTAACTAATATTATTATTAACAAGATGCTGTTGTCTTCAGGTTATTTCTAGAAAAATGAGAAAAGTTTAATCTAAAATATCTTTCATTTCGGTGAATTATTTGAATATTATTGTTTCACAAATTAGGTTTTATAAAGAAAAAACAGGATATGTGGATACCAATCATCACTTCTTCATGCATTTCTACAATGGCAAGCTGTGATAGGAAAATATTATTGGACTTACTGAGAACATATTACTCCAATGTGTACAATGACAATGACAGCCAGAAAATAAGATACAGATGAGAGAACTTTAGCTCCTTTCAGCCCCTTCACTCCTAAAACTGCCCAACTGAGAAGATGCCCTCTTTCCATCACAAAAAATATATCTTAAAGATATATATCTTTTCCTATTGGTGGAGGATGGCATCCAAAATTCCATGAAAACAAGAAATCTAGTGAGAATATGATATGAATAACGTGTCTTTCAAAAGGATCTTTAGATGAAGCAGCAATGTTAAGCCTACATGATAAATGATAAAACAGGACCAGATAGCCCTTTTACCCAATGGGCATATGTTATCAAAGACAGAGATTATCTGCTCTGGGCCAATATACCATGATTCTTTCAGGAAAAAAAACAAGAATTATGCACACTTGAATCCGTATAGAAAACGTTGCCACCTAAATGGGCCCAGTGCTCTTCAACATCTTCATCAAAGATTTGGATGAGGGGATAGATGGGGAACTCATCAAATTTGCAGACGATACCAAACTGGAAGGAATAGCCAACACTCCAGATGATAGGCTTAAGAGACAGAAGGATCTTTACAGACTTGAACATTGGGCACTATCTAACACAGTGGTTCTCAACCTTTCTAATGCCGCGACCCCATAATACAGTTCCCCATGTTGTGGTGACCCCCAACCACTTATACATCACCGGGTGCCAGGGGCGTGGCCAAAGAAAAGGGGAAAAAAATGGTGGACAGCCTTGTTTGGCGACCCCTGTGAAATGGTCGTTCGACCCCAAATGGGGTCCCGACCCACAGGTTGAGAACCACTGATCTAACAAAATGAAATCCAATGGTGAAAAAAGTAAGGTTCTACATTTAGGCAAGAAAAACCAAATGTACATGTACAGTATAGGTGGTACCTTGCTCAACAGTAGTAACGGTGAGAGGGATCTCGGAGTCCTAGTGGACAATCCTTAAATATGAGCCAGCAGTGTGCCGCAGCTGCCAAAAAAGCCAACACAGTGCTAGGCTGCATTAACAGAGGGATAGAATCAAGTTCACGTGAAGTGTTAATACCACTTTACAATGTCTTGGTAAGGCCACACTAGGAATATTGTATCCAGTTTTGGTCATGATGATGTAAAAAAGATATTGAGACTCTAGAAAGAGTACAGAGAAGAGCAACAAAGATGATTAGGAGACTGAAGGCTAAAACATATAAAGAATGGTTGCTGGAATTGGGTATGTCTAGTTTAATGAAGAGAAGGACTAGGGCAGGGGTAGGCAAGCTGGCTCAGGAATTCTGGGAGTTGAGGTCCACAAGTCATAAAAGAGCCAAGGTTGCCTACCACTAGGGTGACATGATAGCAATGTTCCAATATCTCAGGGGCTGCCAAAAAGAAGAGGGAGTCAAGCTATTCTCCTAAGCACTTGAAGGCAGGACAAGAAGCAGTGGATGGAAACTAATCAAAGAGAGAAGCAACCTAGAACTGAGGAGAAATATCCTGACATTTAGAACAATTAATCAGTGGAACAACCTGCCTCCAGAAGTTGTGAATTCTCCAACTGGAAGTTTTTAAGAAGAGACTGGACAACCATTTGTCTGAAATAGTATAGGGTTTCCTGTCTGAGCAGGAGGTTGGACTAGAAGACCTCCAAGGTGCCTTCCAACTCTATTATTATTATTGTTATATCTAATGTCTATATTTACATGACTATGTGCAATGTTTATTACAAATATTACCTCCCATAAAAATGTTTAAGAATTTGTGAAGATTGAAATGGAGCATATAACATAGCTTTCAAATTAATCTAAGGGTCCCATATAGAAAACTAGTGGGTTTTGTTTTTTTTTTTAACAAAAAAAATACCTCTACTTGTGAGAAACATGAATGGATGAGAACTCAATGGCCCAATTCATATTTTAGAATAGATGAAAGAGTATTTCTTTGTAGCATATTAGATTTTAAGCTTGCATTCAAACCAGAAATACAGGAAAGTCAAAACAGGTGCCTAAATTAAGAAAAATCCTTTTCTATTATTTCTCCCTGCAGAAGGTTCTGTAGGGGTCATTTCACAGATGTAAATATTAGCAGCTTCTCTAGGCATATGCATGACAGAAACTGAGTTCTGATCAGAAACTGATGCTCTTTTGATCAGAATTTTGCTAAAGATCTTCCTTAACACTCTCATGCTATACTGTGCATTTGCCCTTATTTTTTTCCTTTGTACAAAATGAACAATAATGGAATTCTTCCCATTATCAGGCATAGTCAGAATTCATCATGTTTTAATATTTCTTCAGTTACACTACTTCAACCTGGTTTACTTTATTTCAATATTCTCACTGATTTTATAACTTTATTTTCAACCATGGACATCATTAATCATCACATTTGTATCAATTCCACTTCTGAGTACAGTATATCACTATTATTCCTATACAAATCTTTCAAATATTCCTTCCAGTGTTCCATCACTGAAATTTAATTCTAATCATTTCATTCCATTCACACAACTGCAAATGTCTCTAGCCCTCTCCTCCGATTTCCCCCCCCAAATTATTTTCATCAAAATTGCTCCCATTTTCTCTATATCTTTTTCATTTAATCATTCCCTTTTTGAGTACAAAGTAGTCCTTGATACGCGACCATAATGAAGCTGCCCATTATAAATTAGGTTGGTCACATGACTGACCCATTTTATGACTTTTCCAGCAGTAGTTAAGCAAATCTATTCTTCAGCATGGCATGTTTTTATCAAAAACTGGGAGTAACATCCATCTTTCAGCAATACCATTGTAAAACACAGTCACATGAACACCTGACATGCAGTCACCCAACTAGGGGACCACTATCAAACCTGAATCATAATTCTCCCTTTTTCCAGGTAGGTTGTAACTCTAAACTATTGCTTAAGTTGAGGACCCATACACATACACAACATTTTTCTTTTATTGCTGTTCCATCAATCATTTTTTTCTTCATCCACAATTTATTTCATTCCATCATTTCTTAAGCATCCTTTTCATATTTTTATTTAACATAACACTACCCACTTGTATGTCCCTTTATAGTATAATTATTTCATTGTGTTCCAAACATTTTCTTCCTCCTCATTCTCTATATTGATTTCACATTATGTTGGGAGATTAATTTTCTAATACTTTTTCATGCGGTACTAAAATGCATATTCTTGCAGCGATTTCATACACAGATTATATTCTATCACTATTTTTCCTTCTATGTCCTTTTCCTAATCTACAAACTGGTACATAGTCTGTTTGCATTCAGAACCTCTCAATATCTTTTTATTTTTCAGTAATTTTTTTTTCACCCTTAAGCAGTCAGATTAATCATGGTTTAAAATCATTCCTTAGGTTACATTTGTGGCATACTGATCAAACTGCTAAAACTGGAACAATATTGTCCTTAGCAGAAATGCTATCTGGCATGGATACAAGAAAGATTTCTAACAGTCTCTACTTTTTATCTTCCCAAAATACTTAAAATCTTAAGACCAAAGCCAAGAGTGGAGTTCTATATTCAAGGATCTACCTTTTAATATAAGAAATATCTGATAAAAAGCATGAATGAATGAATAAACTGAATGAATAAAAGAGAAGTTGTGTATGGGAAAATATGTAACAGATCTAAATTAAAATGATCTGGACTTAATAAGATCTACAAAATTAAGAATGCCAACAAGATGAAATTTCTAAAACAGAAAAGCACACCCGCTCAATCAAATGGATATTAAATAAGCTCATCAGAGACAATCTATTAGTTTCAAGATACTATTATGGCATGTTAATCTATTAAGATTAATAAATTACTGTTCTTAGTTTTAAATTTCTCTCTCTCTCTCTCTCTCTCTCTCTCTCTCTCTCTCTCTCACACACACACACACACACACTGCTTTTATGCCTAAGGAAGGCATAGAACTTGTAGTATCCTGGTTTCTAGGCCAGCAATTTAACCACATCAAGCTGGATCTTAATTAGTTACTTAATTCCACAATAAATGTACAGTATTAAACTCACCTTTAAAGAAAGTATATCCTTTTTAACATTTACTCAATAATTACTAAAACAATCAATAACTGATCTTATTGATAAATCAGTTAAAGGCTGCACTTCTTTTCATTGGAATGAAATAAAATTCTGCTGAAAATTCATTAAATGCACAAATCAATGGTAATTTTTGTATGAAATGCTAAAGGATTTTAATGAATCCATAAATTAGTATGCCAGAATTAACACTAACGTGACAACTAGCATTATTGTACAGATTTGTATCAAATACCAATGCTCAGAAATTATTACATACAAGTTATTACTTCAGAACAACCCTAGATTAATGTTCCCCAAACTGGATATCCTCTAAGACAATATTTGTCAATGTTTGCAACTTTGAGATGTGTGGATTCAAACTCCCAGAATACCCCTGATAACTTTAGTAATCCTAAAGTTATCAAGGCTGAGAAATGCTGCTCAACATCATCCCTTAAAATCTCCTAGCGAGTATGGCCAATGCTGAAATCTACATAACTGAGCCCACCCTCACTCAGTTTGCTAAGATTTACCAAATCATTTACTGTTCTTATTTCATAAATGGGTACTGAGATAAAGTGACATATTTCTGGAAAAACATGCATAAAATGTAGATGAGCAACAGACAAGCTTAATTTTACATTGCTCTTCACATTTATTTTGCAACAGGTAGCTTTGCCTTTACGCCTGCTCCTTCTTCCTATCAGTTCTTGTTACACTTTGGTCTAAAGCTTTTTCTTTAAGACTCTTATATCATTCTCAACTTTAGTTCGGTTTCCTATTTAGAGTGCCTATAGCCCTTTACCTATGATCACAATTGAACCCAAAATTTCTGTTGCTAAGCAAGACAGTTAAGTGAACTTTGCCTCATTTTATGACCACAGTTGTTAAGTGAACCACCTCAGTTGTTAAGTTAGTAACATGATTGTTAAATGAATCTGGTTTCCGCATTGACTTTGCTTATCAGAAAGTAGCATGACCCAGGACACCTTCATAAATATAAGTCAGTTACCAGTATCTGAATTTTGATCACGTGACTATGGGAATGCTACAATAGTCGGGTGAAAAACGGTAAAAAAATCACTTTTTTCAGTGTCATTGTAACATTGGATGGTCACTAAATGAACTGTTGTAAGTCGAGAATTACCTGTATTCATTCATACTGGCATACAATAATTATCTGAAGAAGACTAGGGCCAATATTTGGGATGATTATGTCAAAAAACTGAAAATTTCCTTCTCTGCTTACTTTTTTCTAATTTCCTCATGGAAATTAGCAGATTAAGAAATAATAGACAGATGGGAAATCACAGATGCCATAAGCAATGCCTTCATTCAATTTCCTGCCAACCTTCTGACAAGGTCTTTCCTGTTTAAACCAGCAAAGCAACTGAGACAAATCAATTAAACACTCAGACTTAATAGATATACAAATATTTTATCAGATATATAGACTATATAACCTCAACTCTATTTAAGCAATGTAAAATGTTTCCCTCCCCTTTTCTTCTGGTCCGCCAACCGACAAAGGTTGGTGACCTCCGTACATTTCTCTTGCATATATTTTTTGAAAAGTAATAAATTCATTAGAAAAAGTTGAACATGTACCTGAAATAGGCTCTTAGCAATTCTACAGAATTTTTTCAACAGTAAATACTCTCAATTAATAGGTTTTATTCCTAGGTAAGTGTAGACAGAATTGCAGCTTCAATGCACATTTGTTTTTTGTATTTTTGTCTCATATGCACTAAAGCATTTTCAATATATTTGTGAACTTCTTACTATCTGTTTAAGAAATACGAAAAGTAGGATAGTTTGGATTTCTTTTTTATGTAATGCCCAGGCCCACGGTCGTAGCTGAAAGCTCTCTTAGCATTCAACTATTGTTTGCTTCTTGTATATTTGAGTGAAATACAATTTGTTCTCATTCTTAATAAGGATTATAACATATACTGAAAGGTTACTGAAACAGAACATACTGTCAGAAACAAAGGATATGACATAGATACAGCTTTATATGGCAGGACCAAAAATGTCTCCCATATTGATTATTTAGCCTTGCACAACCAGATGTATAGAAAATTTTGCATGTCCAAACAATCTATCCAGAGTATATATACAGGGGATATAAAGACAGTCTTATTGTAATTTCAAATAGTTGTATCAGTATTACACTATACATAAAGTCTGAAATCCCAAAACTACTATATAAATTTTCAAGGGTTATACAAAAATATTAAGGTTATATCAAAGTGAATCCCAGTGCATACCTTGATTCTCCACTAGTGTTCCTTGTGCTTTCTTCATCACTGTGCCCATTCATTGTAAATATTCACCAAGATAAAAATATAAATAAAAGTTATCCCAGCCTGTAACCAGGATATAAAATGTCTTTTTAGAAGGCTCTCTTCTTTGTGCTTCAGATATTTCACTATGTTCAGCAATTCATGATTCTTGCATAAGTTACCTTTAAAAAATAAAGAGCTATTTGAAATATTTACATAATCAACGTTGTAGATTTTGTAGTAACATTATTTAACTAACTGAATATGCATTCCTTTCTATTCTGTAACAGTCCTATAATATCACTTATGTAAAAGACAAAACTAGTTCAGTGTTTTCAACAATTTTCAACAATTTTAATCCATCAATTAATTCATATAACCCAATCCCACTCTGACAATAAAGTCGTGTACACAATCATATCTTGCTCAATTCAATTTTCTGTGTCTTACAATTACAAGCTGTATATAAAAAATCATTACCTCAATAATTTCTATAAAACCCACAAAGGTACTATAAATACTGTTCAGAGATAGGTTACCTTCTTGTTTTGAAAATCTAATTCTATAGTATTTCTACAGTACCTGAAAATTAGATTTAAATAACTATGACATAGGAAAAAGAAAAATGTATTCTTTTTTTCCTATATCAGTTTCTACAAAAGATAACATACTATACAGGCAGACTTTGACTTACAACAATTCATTTAGTGAACATTCAAAGTTGACTAATGGCCATTTTTCACACTTATGATGATTGCAGCACACCCATTGTCATGTGATTAAAATTCACTTGACAACTGGTTCATATTTATGACAGTTGGATTATCCTAGGATTATGTGATCACCTTTTGCAAGCTTCTGACAAGCAAAGTCAATGGGGAATCCAGTTTCACTTAAAAATTGTATTACCAACTAAGCAACTGCAGTAATTCACTTAAAACTATGAACAAGGTGGGGGGAGGGGGAACCCACATCTTTATAACCCACTCATACATAAGAAGGGAAAAATCTAGTCAGTTTTGGGATAACAAAAAGCGTGCATATATATTATTGTAATTTATATAGTAAAGTATTGGCCTGTTTTTAATGCTACAGTAAGGTCTATTTCAATTACAAGTTCCAGGCTCATGTGCAACTACAGCGCGAGACTGGGCACATCGTTGGAAACTCACTTTCAGCTGAGTTTCGTGCGGGGTTCTCTCCCGCGCTCTTTTCTTTTTAGGAAACCCAGGCAAAGGCGGGGCCACCGTTTAGAGCAGTAGGAAGGCAGCGCATAGACACCCTCAACGCCAGCCTGTCAGCCAATGAGAAGCGCGCCTCGTGGATTTAGTGGGTGCCAAAACAAATGGGCTTTCTCCCCTCCCTCCGGTTCCCCCGTAGCGTCATGGGTGTCTCTCACGACTCCGCACACGGCGCCTTTTTATTACTATTACCGTCACCGGGATTTTTTCCCCCCTTTCAAGGCTGCCCGCGGCCCGCCCGCCTGCCATTCCGTCGCCCGCTTGCGAAAGCTTCTTTGACTCTCTCACAACCGCCTCTCTCTCCGCAGCCGCAGTCTGGTAAACAAAGGGAGATGGCGGGGGAAGATGAAAAAGCAGGACCCAAGGCCAGGGCAGCAGCGTGGTCGCTTCGTCCGAGGGAGGGACCGCTGTGGGAGGGAGGGACAAAGCGAGGACCGCGGGACAGGCGGGCAGCCCCGCGGTGCCGCATCGGGCGGGGGATAATAAAAGTGACAATTTTCTGTCCAGCGCTGGCCCCCTGCAGGCGCCTCCCCGAATGCTCACCTGAAGGCCGGGCTTATCCCGAAAGTCCGACTGGGCCCTGTCCCTCTTCTCTCTCGGCCATTCAGGCCGAGGGCCGCAAATCAGCTCTCGGCTCACTGAGGCCGGAGCCTTACTGCCGCCCTCCCTACTTTTTCTTCTCCCACCCTTCTCTTTCCCCACCTCAGCTACCTCGAGGTACCCAGGCAAGCTGCAAGTCGGCCTGCGATCTTCCTTGCCTACCGGTCAGCCCAGCGCTGCCAAGTCTCCTACTTCCTTAAGTGGGCCGCTCTTACCTGAGCGTCGCCAGACCTGCCTGGGCCTCTCTGGAAGAACAGCGTGGCGAAGAAGCGGCTGAGAGCACTGCAGTAGGGCCCTAAAAAAAGGGGCTGAGGCGGCGGAGAAAGAGGCGCTCCCGGGCCGGCCTGGATCTCCTCACTCTCTCCTTGCCTCTTCCCGGCCCTCTCGCTTGGTTTGCCCCCAAAAGAGGCGGGGGGGGGTGGGAGGAAGCGCGACTCCTTCAGAAAGTGAGGCGGGGGAGGAGAGAAAGGAATGGGTTAAAAAAAAAGCCTGAGGTAAGCAGGCGTGCGTCGCCGTTGCTTTAAGTCCTCCCGGCCGCCGCCGCCGCCGCCATCACGCTGCCGCCGTAGCAATTCAGCGCAGCCTCCTCCCCCTCCCTCATCCGATGGAAACCCCGGGCGTGATGTCAGCCGTGGGACAGAGCGGGAAGGGAAGGGAGGAGTCAACGCGGAAAGGAAGCTGGCGGAGAGGCTCGCGCGCGACGGACTTGGAAGCTGAGGGCGCGGGAGTGGGGGGAGCAGGCGGGGGCGGAGTGAGCGCGCGCGCTTGCAGAGCTTTGCCTTTCGGTCTCCACAAAGGGTCAGATCTCACGTGAGAGGGATTGCGGATCGGATGGTTACTTCTCCGGTTCGGCTCCGCTCATAACTGGGTTCAAGTTTCGATCAGGTCTGAATCCCGTGTTGGTAAAAATGTATCTCTCTTTTTCCGGGTTCGCAGATCTTCAGTCGAAGCATTCCATTGCATCTGATAGGATTTTGCTGATGCATTGAGTATTTGGCAAAAGGAGGCAAACGAGCCATGTCCGTAAGGGCAACCGACTACTTTGCCTTCCGATACAATTAAAGATTAATTAAAATACTTTTTTCCGGTGTGCTTGTGTGACATATACATCAAATATGTGCATATTGGATGGGGGGGGGTAAGGAAAGTGGGAGCAGAGATCAAATAATTTCTTTCTACATTGATGTCTGAGTGACACGTTGACATAATTTGTAATTTGTCTTATCCTGACCAATGAATAAAAACTCCTGTTTTCACTTTTCTAATTCCAGGATTAGAAAATTAATCACACCCACACTAAATATACCTAGCAAATTTATGATTAAATTTGAAGCAATTTCCTGATTTCCTTATTTAGTCCTTTAATGTACTTAATCTTCTAAAAAAGATAAGATCGCTGAAATAAGTTAATGGATTCTTCTGTTTAAGCAAAAAAGAAAAAAGAAATAGTCTTGTGTCTATCCCAATATCTTCTATTTCTTTCTACCATTTTTGATTGTACAGTAATTCTACATTCACTATATCCAATCTCAAAGCATACAATTATTAATAGCTTACAGTACAGTTTCACCTATTTCCAATTGTATTGGAGCAATGCATTTTCTCAAAAGTTCGGAACCCTATAAGAATTCTACCATAAATAGATAAGATAGATAAGATAACCTTTATTGTCTTTTTTTTTCCCCTGTGGCACATTGGCACACATTAAAAATGAAAATGAAACTGCTCAATTTTCCTATATTTCTTGCCTCAGCTACTCAGAAGGATTTAGATTTCAAAGAACACTTAAAAAGAAACCTGCATTATCTGCTTTTATTTGTACGTTAAGCCTTAAGGAGTTTATCACTATTGTAAATTAGAATAGGTTTGCAAAGACGCAAAAGGAGTTACATTTTTTTAGGGAAATAATTCTTCTTGTGCCATATCCATTATCAGACGTTGGCGATAATGTTGGCGATCCTGTCCCAGATGCAGATTTTATGTTCTGTCTAATTAAAAAGTAAAGCAGCAAAGGTGACAACTTTGCTTGATAGAAGACTACGTAGAAAATAAGTCTCCATTTATTGCTGAAGGAAAAATAAGTACTGTGTGTCAAAAGGCTGCATAAAACACTTTTGTAGCCAAAATGAGGTGTATTATAATATTCCCTTCAAGAATTGATTCTTGAGCACTTTGTAAGCCAAGAAACTACAGAAGGGGTATATACTCAAGAGACCTGTCTTCAACCTTATCCACAATTTATTGAGATGGAGGAATTAAACTTACATTAGGACGACCAACCTACACCGGAAAAAACTTTTGATGCTAATGAGCACGTGACTTTTAGCACGGAAACTAAGGATGTTACCCCAGAAGGGCAGGCTGATCTCCAGACTCCAACTGATTACCTGACAGATAAAAAACCAATAGGAGGAGAGCAAAATAATATTAAAGAAGACTCTACATTATTTTATAGACAATATACTGAGACTTTGGATGATTCAAAAATGACTGTAATTAAACTAGACGCAACTTCAAAAAAGATGAAGATGGATATTCAACCACAAGCTATTGAGAATCATTACAGCTTTTTCACTAGGCTATTAAAATGGACAATGGGAAATTCTCCCCTGATTTATGTGTTATGGCAAGAAATGGAGGGAGGTTTATTTGCGGACTTAGAGGCCTTACTATGGAAACCCGTTTGGAACAGAAAGAAAAGCTAGAATAAGATATAAATATGGAATTTAAGATTACATTTATGGGTTGCAATGGCTTTATAGAAATGTGGATTGATTTGGATTTGGATTTTTAAAAGATGTTTTTAGGATAAGATTTAGAATTTAATATTGAAATATAGCAAGAATATATTTTTTTGAATAATAGATCTTACTTCTCTTTTTCTTGGTTTCTTTTTGTTTCTATTATTTTTTTTCTGTTTTTCATATGCTTTTTTATTATTAGATATGATAGCTAATTTGTGGAGCTATAATGATAAAAAGATTGTAATGATGGAAGAGATGAAATTAATAAATGAAGAATTACTGAATAAAAAAAAAGAATATAGTTGAGAAATGTAAGAATGTAATTATGGAAATAATATGCTTAAATAAGAGAAATTATGGACACCCGAATTGTAAAGAATATTTTTGTTTAAGGCTAAGTTAGATATGGTATTTGGAAATTAATAAACCTAAAAACAGGGTTTGATTTACATCGATGAAAGATTGCTGATAACTTCTATTGATTAATTGAATTCTTATTTAGGAATGTATTAATGAATTAATTTTACTTAGAAATGTATTAGTTTAATTATACTATTCTAATTGTTAGAGAGGAAAATTTTAAGGAGCATTATTTGAGCTATATGTGTATGTTATTGTACCTAACTGATTATCCTATCTCCACGTTTCTTAAGCGTTCTGGTGTAAAAATAGAAAAATCAATAAAATTGTTTGGAAAAAAAAAGAATTGATTCTTTAAAGGCTCTGAATTAAAGCAGCTATGAAAGCGTCAGCAGAAGTGGAGGTAAGTCTAAAGGATTATTTTTGCTAGTATTTATACAGTATGCTATGCTAGTTTATAACATTAATTGTTTGATTTTACTTACAAGAGTGTTTGTGAACAAATTTGTGAATAATTTAATCTAGAATTAGGATACGATAGGATAGGATATGATAGGAAGGGATCTTGGAGGTCTTCTAGTCCAGCCCCCCACTCAAGCAGGAGAACCTATACCATCTCAGACAAATCACGATGGCATGATGAAAATGAAGCAGTAGCCAAAGGAATAGTAGTTGTAATAATGGGTAGCTTCAGTAGACTAACATTAGGTAACATTAAGATTAGTAACAGAAATCTCTCAAAGCAATAATACTTCTTTATGTGCCTAACTACTTTCTCATCCTGAGACTACATTAGCAGGACCAGCTCCGAATTCCGTGGCTTCCATAATTGGCATTGTAGGAGAACCATGTTAATCTATAATGGTCAAATAATTAAAAAGTCTAGTGATACTTTGCATGACAAACAGATGTTATCATAAGGCATAAGCTTTCATGAGATGTAGCTCACTTTGGTTGACACAACTGATGAAATGAGCTGCCAGTGCCCCAAACCTATGCATTATAATAAAATGCCACAATTTCAAAGAAAGATAGTTTGAGGAAGGGGTATATTTCCCTCTGTAATGGTCAGAAGTTTATGAATTTTGGTTTTATAGCATCATACCATCCCCTAGAACAGTGGGGGAATTTCCTGACATTATACTTGATAAGTATTTGAAGGTGTAAACTTTATAAAAGGGCTTAAAAATATTTTTTTATAGATGTGGATTGATGAAATGATAGAATATATTTTTAAAAATAGAATTGTATTTGTTGGATTTATATTGTTATTTTAAACATGAAAAATATGCTGTAATAGAGAGAGAGTAAGAGCTACTTGTGATAGGGAAAAAATTAGTTTTAATGAACGATCTACTATTAAGGATCCCAACTATATGTCTACTGAAATGTAACTGGAATATAACAATTGTAATTAGTAAAACTTAAAACAGGATATAGATTATCATAATTGCAAGGTGATTGAGGATTTTTGTTTGATTGAACTTTATCTAAAATTGTATTAATTTTAATATGTAATATTATTCCTTACAGAGAGGAAATTGTTTATAATTAATTTGAGCCATATGTATATGATTTTGTTTTTGAATAATTTGACACTCTGACCACCATGTTGTGTCCTAAGCTTTTGTAAAAAAAATGGAAAAAAACAATAAAACTTTTATTAAAAAAAACAGTAAGAATTGTATTAACTTAAGGTTGGTAAAAGAGAACATTATGGGAAGAAGAGGAAATCAAGTAAAGCTATTATGTGGATTATAGATCATAGAAACCAATTGTTAGCGAATGTTTTTTAAATGTAAACCCAGGCAACACATTGTTTACTGAATATTAAGGTGACCATGTTAAAAAATTAATAAAATATATTATAAAAAAAAGTGAGTCACTGTGGGCTATTGAGACATCATGTGATTACAAGTTGGGATTTTACTGCTAGCTTCTCCATTGACAGCTTATAAGACTCAACTGGCTGTGTAGAGCACAACTGGCAATTTGTCATAAATATCTGCTGGTTGTGAAGTGCCTAAATGTCAGTCACTTGACTGTGGAATGCTAAATGGTCATAAATATGAGGACTGGTCATAGAATTACTTTCTCAGCACAGTGGTAACTTGAACAGTTGCTAAGCATGGCAGTCACTGAGCACTGCTCTCTGCCCTAGAAAACCCAATATCCTTGTCATACATTTATGAGGCCCTTTGGGAATAAAATTACTTAAACTAACTTGAACATTGCTTTTAATACAATATCTGATTGAATTGAATAGATGAGTCTTAGTTTGCGCCTGGCTGGCCAACTACTTTGAGCTAGCTGAATGTGGCCAGGGAATGATGTATGCATTTTTACCTATGAAGTAGTGTCACTGGTCTTAATGGAAGCAGTGGTTTGCCATCCAGAAGAAACCTTGAATCCAATCTGCCCTGAATAAATTTACATCCCCTCAGAACTGTATGTAATTTAGGATAGTTCTAAAGTAATTGTCAGCAAAAGTGACCCTGTACGTGTAGCAGTGTTTATTCCCAACTTACAGAATAACAAAATAACAGAGTTGGAATCGACCTTGGAGGTATTCTATTCCAACTCCCTGCTCAGGCAGGAAACCTATACCATTTCAGACAAATGGCTGTCCAGTCTCTTCTTAAAAACTTCCAGTATTGGAGCATTCACAACTTCTAGAGGCAAGTTGTTCCACTGATTAATTGTTCTAACTGTCAGGAAATTTCTCCTTAGTTCTAGGTTGCTTCTCTCCTTGATTAGTTTCCATCCGTTGCTTCTTGTCCTGCCTTCAGGTGCTTTGGAGAATAGATTGACCCTTTGTTCTTTATGGCAACCCCTTAGATATTGGAACACTGCTATCTTGTCACCCCTAGTCCTTTTTATTAAACTAGACATACTTAGTTCCATCAACCATTCTTTATATAGACTTCTGTTGATATCCCAATTATATCCTTTCCTAGGCAGGGATAGCCCAGGTACACTTGTGCATGTACTGGTTGACTTAGATTTAGTTATGCATTTTAGGTAATTTGAGCTTGGTCTGGAAACTACAGCTAGTACAGAGTGTGATGATCCTAGTGCTAAGTGGGACACTTAGCTGTCCATGTGTTACACCTTTGTTGATGCAACTTCATTTATTGCCAGTTTGCTATTAAATTTGTTTTAGTTATGACATACAAGAACCTAAATAATTTGGGTAGCAGGATATTTGCCTTTGCTTTTTAGCAAAGTTGTCTTTGCTTTTTAGACCATTGAGATTACATTGTATATATATGAAGACTTTCCAACTGCCATCTGGTGGTGATTCTTAGGCAGGCCTTTAAGTGCTTCCGAACTCTGAAATGCTGTCTCACCTATTTTTCTTCCTCTCCTAAAATTCTAGGATAGGTATAATCTAATTTAACTGATTGTATGGTGATTTAGAACAGGTAAAGAAAGTACTTCTTTTACTTAATACATATCCTATGTAATTCATTACTGCAGGCCACAAAGATGGTTTCACAATAAAAACAACTAGATAAATGGAAGACAAGTTTAGAGAGCTGTTTGTCTAGCAAAATTAGGAGCAGTTAAGTCTTCACGGCTCACTTGTTGGGTCAGCAGCTTTTGCTTTTGAGCACTAGTGACATTTAGTTGGTCACTATGAGAAAACACTGGTCAAAGATGGAGCATAGTCTTAGTGACCAGATAGTTCCTATGTTATATCCAATTATTCAGCCAGAGTCTGAATAATTTCTGACACAATTTTTGCTTTAATAGTAATATAAAGACATGGCCCAACATTTTGTTTTCCTTTACCTTAGGTTTAATAAATAACTACTGTTCTTTAATAATCATAATCACCTGAATAATCAATTTACCTGTAAAATCTGAGAAGAGATTTTGGCAGATTGTATAGAAGATATTGTGTAATATCAATGACTGAGATAGGTTTTCACTTGTGCATAGGAACATTTTTCTTCGCAAACTGTTCTGAAGGGCTCCCATCCTTCTGATGCAGAATTGGGACTTTTTCAAGTACTTTTGTAAAGTTACACTCCTCTGGTTAATTGCAAGATCATGAATCATATTATTAAGGTTTAATTATATTTTTGCTTTTCATTTAATTTTATTAAGCTGATAAATGTTACTTTATAATTTTGAGCAAAAGATTCTGGCTCCCTCTAATGGAGAAATGCCATAATTTTTTCTGCCTGGCACTCATATTTTATGTGTGAGAAAACCCGCATTGAATGTTTTCTGGTATTGTAGTTATATGTTTAACTATATATAATTATAAATGAGAAATGAAATACAATTTGATTTTAATATAAAGATCACTCTTATTTTTATTTTCATCAGTATTACTTACTGTAACTCTAAGAAACCAAAAAGCTGAATTTAAATTCTAAACGTTTTCTATTAGGATTTATACAAAACTCCCTAATGCTGTGCCTTCATTCCAACACCGTGGCACACCATGATTTGTTTAATCACCAATTCTTGAATAAACCAAGATAGGTTGGCTTTATATCATATGCAAAGCTATAAGAATTGGCTTACAAACAGTAGAGGTTGGATTCACACAATCTGCTAATCCATGAACAAACAAACTGTATTTTAGTTTAGCACAGTATGTAAACTCATATTTTTTGCCTTGGATCAATTAGCTCCATTTTACTTGGTATACATGTATTTATTGCAATCAAGCAAGCATTATGTTTGATTAATAAAAAGAACCAGTTGAATCTGAGGACTGAGACACTTGAAAGAAATATAGTG